TACAGCTGTTCGATGTAAATAGTTGTCTTAGAGGGCTTAAAAAGGGCAAACAGAGATGATTTCCACATCCTGTCATCTTCATTAGAATTAAAACACCATGTGCCGCCGTCTATTTTTTTCTTTTCCATCTCATATTTGCCATCATTAATTTATATGTTATCTCCTCTCATTTGTACATGTGGTGAACTCTTTTTATAAAAAAGCTGCCAAAGCTTCAGGTTTTGGGATGCTACATAATTGCGGGCTAGTCTTACCTGCTGTCTCTCCTCTCCTGTAACAGCGGTGATCAAAATGTGGGTGACGCTCTGTTTTCCCAGGATGTTGGATGATGATGCCCAAACACATTAGTCATTATGATAAAAGAAGCACAATACTACGTACTGTGGTGGATGAGCTTCTCATCCTGACAGCAAGCCAACTGGTTCTCATGTACCTCTAACTGATTCTCCCTGAACTCAAAAGCCCCAGCATTTTTTCTAAAAGGTTTCACACCAAAAATGAGGAAAAAACCTGAATAAATATTGCAAATGGTTTTGAAAATTGAAGAGGTTAGAGCCCAGAAAGATTTCAGAACTTTCCTCAGACAAGAACAAATCAATCTTATTTCTAATTTACAGTAACATACTGACTAGTTGGGATGGGCAGTACATTAAGGCAGCATGTAACATAATGCAACACTCATCGCTGGTAAAGCAACAGGTAACACAAATAATTCCTAAGCACTAGCCAGGCTGGGTGAATACTTGAACTCAATGAACCTGTTGTCTGTTAGGAAAGGTGGTAACTTCAGCAACAGTTCATCTTTTGATTCTTTTCCAAATCTACAGAAGTTAACATTGACATCATAGTTATCACCTGTTCAAAGCCAGCCTTCAAGTCAGTCCTCATCATACTGCAATGCAGAAGGGCCCCCCCGATCCAGGGCCAGTGAAAGATTACAGAGGTTACTCTGGGGCTACAAAGGCCAAATGCTCTACATCAATTTTTCTTGGTTCCATCTCACCATGTGAACAGGATTTGGATTTTTCATCTTCCTCAAACAACCTCAGCGCTGATGCTCCTGCTAATGGGAATTCAGGCTGTTATTGGTGATCAAGATCATTTGGCTCAGCCAGAATTGAATGTTTTAACTCACAAATGGCTCTTAATAGTAACGTTCATGAACAACAGCTGGCTTTTAGAGCCGAGTCCTTCACAAGCTGCTCCACACCTTCAATGAAATCATGAGAGGTAAACAGTGTGCCCAAGAAAATATTTGAGGTCACAATAATTCATTAAGATAAAGCAGCATATGTAATAGTATGACCTCTTTCTGTGATGGTGTTGATTGAAAGTGATGACTGTGATACTTTTAACCACCTCTGATCGCTCTGTGTCGATTACAGACGTTTCCTGCTCTTCTTGAATAGTATTAATCTATTAAAACAGTCTGTATTGTATGGTTTATGGTCCTACTTTTGGTAAAACAGGTTAAAAGTATCAACTCATGCAGCTGACATGCATATGGTGTGAAAATCATTACAGAGCAAGCTGGACCCATGAAGCGCAAAAGCTGTCTGGCAGCCGGCACCTGACCTTTCCCCCTTTCTTTTCTGTCCCTTTTCTTTCTCAAAGATTTCCTTGCCTTCCAACCAAGGTCTTCTCTTGGAAATGTCAGGATGTAAAAAGTTTTTATTTGGGTCACTGGTACATACATCCATCGGTTTACCCCCGCTTAGCTGGAGTCGGGTCACAGGGGCAGCAATCTGAGCAAGTCAACCCAAATGTCCCTCCTCTCAGCAACACTTCCAAGCTCCTCCTCTGGGATCCCAAGGTGTTCCCAGGCCAGATGGGATATGTAATCTCTACGGCCTACTCCGGGGTCTCCTCCCAGTTGGACATGCCCTCTAAAGGGAGGCATCCAGGAGGCATCCTTATCAAATACACGGACCACCTTAACTGACTTCTTTCAATGCAGAGAAGCAGCGGCTCCATCTTGAGCTCCCTTCAGTCATCTCAGCTTCTAACCCCATCGCTAAGGCCTGGCTATTGATGTGTGTAACTTAACGTGTGGCACAGCGCTGGCAAGAGGCAAAAACTTGTCAAGGCCTTGAGTTTAATCTCCTGAATACCTCAGACAGATCCCTAAGGTGAGAGTAAACAGATGGCTGGCAGTGAGATGTGCAGTTGGATGAGAGCGAATGAGTGAGGACTAGATACAGCTTAAAGAGCTGTTGCTCAGTCTGCTTGTTGTCTATTTAGCGGTGCTGGTAGTGTGAGCAAGGGGGATTTTCCTCATATTTAATAACATCGTAGAGGCTGACACGGATGGGGCCTGTAACCTGGTTCCCCAAAGTAATACAACATCAAAAACTCGTGGTAAACAGCAGACTCTCTGAGCGTCCTCAGCCGTGATCAGTTGTTCTTGAAACAGCAATTCAAACTTTTTGTAGCTCTTTCATAATTTACTAGTTTTGTAGCAGATATCTTTTGCTTTCTTGGCCCAGCAAAAGTTAAGTCTAGCTGTAAACTAGATGTGGGTTCTATGAACAAATACACAAAGGATTAAAGTATCTTGACAACTTCCCTTATTGTTTTAATCAAAATACATTTTAAAAGAAAAAATACTCCAAAGCCAGACAACAATTGTTCCTCTGGAAAGCTGCGCTCCAACTCCATGTTTACATTTACATTTTCCAGCAGACTCACCTTGACATGACTCGATGATCAGCGCACTGGCAGCGACTGCTGATTGTACTATCTGTTTCAGGGACTCTTTATTTCCATGTAACCAGGAAACACTGGTAAACAGGCTGTTGGTGGATGCACACAGTTCTGGCTGGTACCATCTGCATATAAGGCTGGCACTGAATATTTCTAAAACATCTGGAAAAATGATGGAAAATTGTAAAGAGCAACGTTTTTGCATATTCATTAGGACTGGAGACATTATTCAGACTGGAAAAATGATAATTAGCCTCTCCTGCCAGGAAATTCTATTCAAAGAAGGATTTGTCTCATGAAAGTGACGGGTTCCCCACTCTTGAATCTTCATGCATTTCTATCTGTAAGTAGAGGTTGTTTGAAGTTTTTCAATGGTTGATGCTCCAAACAAGCAACTCTTTGATGCTTTGTCTCTCCGACATAATTTCAATGACCTGTGGTGAGAGGTATTTTTCATCATCTGGTTCTCTGCGCCTGATTTCGCAGACATTGACCTTTTGATGCTTGACAAGTTCAAGAGACTCTTTCACCAAGACCTCACACATAAGCGCTCTTTGTCACCTTTGTGCTGATGTATAAGTAGAATTTTATTCAAATGTTAATCAAATTTTAACTCCAACCCTTGTTTCTGTTACAGCCTAAGCTCCTCATCTGGTTATGTTTACCTTGTTTCCTGTTTATTTTTGTGTTCTCCTCTTTTCTTCCTATCCTGCATGTTTCCCGCCTACAAAGATGTGGACCCTCTCCTGATCATTTTTATTTGTCTCACTTAATCTTCATAACCTTTTGTCCTACAGTTTTCCGTCCTTTGTGTTCTTGTTGTTTGTTGCCAGCTCATCTAAGCTCTCCATGATTAGCAGACAGAATAATGGAACCAGGTTCAGCTGGTGATGGAGGCTGTGGTGGAAGGATGTGGTGTGAAAACAAAAGAATCATCGTTTAAAAACGTGCAATTTAGTATCTCCCATATGTAATTTAGTATCTTAAACATGTGTTTTATACATATCTCATACGTATTTGTATGATTTATATGTCATTTATTTGTATCTTGCGCATGCGTTTTTTTAAATAGTCCTCTGCTCACCTCATTTGTGAGAAATGAAGCACAGTGTCAAGGACAGAGAGTTATTATCAACATTTTCTGTTATTTAGGTATGACTCACGAAGCGACACTTTATAGCATTGCCACATTTAGTGTTGTTTTGAGTAGGAGACACCTCATTAGGAACCCCAAAGCACAGTGACTTTGTCGCCGGCGATATTCAGACTTGCAGGACGTGATTTTGTTTATTAATGGACAGGTAAATTGCATGTGTGATATTCTAACCTGCCCAGCCTTTAATTGTGCAGAGACTATTTTCTGCAATAATGACTATAAAACATCACAAAAATTATCGTTATTCATGTCTGCGTCATAATATTGCAGTAAAGATATGGACATCGGGAAAATGATAAACTGAACAATACGCTTAAATCTTCTTCCTTTGGTTGTGAGATAATGTTGAACTGTCATGTAAAAGAAGTATTATCTGTCAGTTAAGACAGAAATCGGGTCTTTTCCCCCAAGCTTCTCCTCCTCTCTCATGGTCAGGCTACAGTACAAAGAGTATAATCAACCAAAGAAGAAAAGATCTATAATATAAGTATATAAGAGGTAATATCACACAGTGTTTTGGAGTTTGCTTCAGGCACTTCATAGCAAATCAAAGAGAAAGGTAATGACGTGGACATCACTCTGAGAGAAAGGGTTTGTTTGAATCTGATCATCTGTACTAGTCATTTGATCGATTGGAGACTAAATGGGGAAATGGCACTGAAGATATGATTCCTATGTTGTGGTGATGGTTTGTCAGAGAGAACGACTTACTAAATAATGCTTGGAAATTACAGACACATCTTTGAAATGTTTCTGTTTCCCTCATTTTGCATAACAGCATGCAGGCACTGAAAGGACAATTTTCTTTTGCTTTTTTAAAATTAAAATATGACTGCATATGTGAGGATTTAATGGGAAAATTCTGAGGACCAATATTTTCCACAATGTTTGTGCATGCTGCGCAGCTTTGGTCACCAGAAAATATGGCATGGTGTGAAACTGGCAGTACCAGATCATGCTGTGTACAATTTAGTCTCACTTCCTCAACTCAAAGCCCCACCATCTGTCCTGCTCTATCACACTGATATTGGAGCCAATTATCTTTTGTCCCATTAACAGTCCTCTTTTTATCAATATACTGTTACACCTCATTTCTGATATACTTCAACAGCCGCACTGTTTCCTCAAGGTTAGCGATATTTCATACCATTACCTTTTATTCAAACCGCACTACAGTTTCAAGGCTATCTGTTGAGCAGTTGGATGTCTGGAAAAATCCTGCAAGCTGTGTTGACTTTATACCACGTTAAAAAAGGAGACTATTCTTTCTGATGGCTGATCAAATACAAGATGCTTGGACAGCCTGCAGTGGGGGAGTCAGTGGAAGAAAAACAAGGCAAAATCTAAAATACACATATTTTATACAAGGTACAGTAGAAGAGACAACAGTGTACTGTACTGTGAACTGAGGGTACTTGCATGCATTCGCCAAGTTGAATGAACACAATATTTTCCATGTGGGTTCTGGTTTGTTCTTGTATTTTTATTTTTAGCTGTTTAAGTTTGTTGCACAGCTGATCAAGTCTAAACTACTAAACCCTGTTCCTGCAAAGACCTTCTTTCAAACAGCTCCATTTTTAGCTTCTCTTACAAATATCTTCTCCCAAACAGCATTGATATTAGTGATTTCACAGATTTTTTCTGCACTTTGTATCACTCTGTGTGACTTCAGGAGTAACTAAATTCTTTGCAAATTTAACTAATGTATTACTTCTCTATGCTTCATTACTCTTCTCACCTAATGTGCCCTGCCTCTCGTTTGGTATTTTTGTCAATTAACCCCACTCTGATATTTTTTTTTCTACTTTCTACTTGAAGTGTTATCAGTGGTCTTTAAACTGTGATTATGAAGTTTTTAGCCAAAATTGCATTACCTGTGTCTTTTTCTAAGGGCTTGTCTTCTGCAGAGCTTCAGTAGCTCATTAGCAATTCACCTCTGAGTCGTGGGCAGAGACAGCGCTGCTCTTTACACTCCTCTTAACACTAGCTACTACTAGGATTTATGACCTATACTGCAGCCCGTCACCAGAGGGTGCTGTTCTCACAGTGGCTTCACCCAGTGAGAGGGCAGATGGCGTTCATTCAATATACAGTCTATGGTCCTGACCTTTTGGTCTTGACTCAGGCTGTGTCTCATTTCAGAGACCGAATCGGGATAAGCGCGCTTAACGGCGCTTAGCTGAGTGCACTGCCGTTTTGTGCCGTTATGTGCCGTTTTGCGCCGTTATGTACCCTTCCTGTGTACCTGTGCGCGCTTAGCATTTCTTAGCATCTCGTGCCAAATGGGACACCGTTCGCGCCGTCGTGACGTCATGCACGCTTCAAATGCACCGTTCGACGGTGCAGAAGTGCACTTAGCCCGATGCGGTCTCTGAAATGAGACACAGGCTCAGTCTCAATCACTTGAAGTCTTGGTCCTGATGCCTCCTGGTCTCGGACATGTCTTGGTCTTGGTTACTGTGGTCTTGACTCACACATAAACTGTTATATGAAATCCTCTTTAGAGGTTTTTTTTCTTTTTTTTTCCCCAAAAGTTTAGGCTGTAAGGATGAAATGGAAAACTTTGGTGCAGCTTGTTAGTTTGACCTGATCTGTCAAATAATACTGTCTTCACACCTGGTTCACTGTCTAGACCTGCCCACATGGTTGGTTTGAACTAGTTTGATTCAGCCTTGAGCTCCTCTGAAAAAGGATCTTAACCGTAGACCCACGCACTCAAGACTACAAAGGAAAGTTTTGTTTCATCTGTTTTCGGTCTCTCACTCAGCAGACTGCAAAGCACTGTGTGTGACCCTCCTTGCAAAGATAAAAACTCATTTAAGACGTTTCCTCTGGTGTTAAAGTTTCTTTGTTTAAGATCTCACCAATGTAAAATTTCTGTAACAATGAAAAAAGCAGGGTCTGAACCTCAGCACATGTAGTATGAGTAGGGGAGTTGAAATACATTGTTATGTTGCACTAAGATGCAGATGTGGGCAGTTCTCCAGCAATGCAGTGACAGATGACAATCAATGACTGCATTGTGTGGGCATCAGTGTACAGGGCTTTATTTTTGTGTCAGTCCACCCCACTAAGCAGACACTCAGACAACAGAGGAGTGGCAGATTGACAGAGGTATTTTTATCTTCTAGTAACACAACTAATAGAGAAAATAATTACCTGCATGTTGCCCTCTGACAGTTACTCACCAAACACCGGAAGCCATATGAACCACTGTGTACCATGTCTGTATAATGATGAGTGGGACCTGTTGGTGCCTGACATCATTGGTGGTGATATGTGAACCACACAGAGCTGAACATTCAACTCTGTGTGACCTCGTCAGATGATTGGTAATAACAGTCTGAGTCTGTCAGTGCTGAAATAAAACACTTGGAGTGGACACAGTTTGATTATTGTCAAACTATGTTTTTGTTTTGTTTGTTAAAAAGAAGAAGAGCAGCTGTGGAGGGATGTATTTGAAAATGTTCTTGATTCCTTCTATACCACCTTTTCTTCGCCCGGGTGGCTTAACCTAGACTCAGAGACGGATCTCTATGCTTTGCTCAGATGTTACACGCTCCATATCCAGTCACAGCTGCATCAATTCCAAAGAGTATGGAAAAACCACTCCTTCAGATCAGATCAGATCTGGTTGGGCAAAGAATAAGAGGGGGGCTACAGTTAATACTTGTCAGAAAAATGTTTAAAATGTGGTAAAAATATTAAATATATCATTATTTTTTAAAAGTTTATAAAAATATGTAATTGTACTAGAAAGAAAAAAACTGGCACTTTCACACCAAATAACTCAGGCGGATGGCCAATTCAGAGTTGACTGTAGGGGGTCACAGAGACCTGTGACCGATGAAGTTCACATGCCTGAGTTGGCGCTGCCCCACGCTCTGACTGCAGCAGAAATGGCAATGCTGCCAAATCCAACCGTACCATTTTCAGGGACAGTACAAATATACTTAAGACAGCAAGCATTCATTTAAAAAATACTGGAAAGTCTAGTTTAATATTATGTTGTGGAAATTTCTGCTTAAATTTAATGAACCAATGGTAAAAGGGTTTCACAAATAAGAGTATTAGTGAGTACAATTTTACAATAAAATGACTGAAATTAGCATTGTTCCTCTGTAATGAAAACTGAGTTTAGTGGTGAGTATTTCAAATGAATTTTCTTTTCCTACAGCAACTTCGAAGTGTTTTAGAAGACCCCTGCTGCCATGCTCTCTAGTTTCAGACTCAGTCCTGTATGTTTTTAGGTACCCAGGGATGGCATGTGGGTGGAGCTTGGAGGGGTCGTGTATTTCACCTGCTTTCTAGCGCAGAGTATTGTGAAGAACATTCGTTGGATTATCACCCATATCAGTCTCTGCAAGGGCTTGATTGCTTGTAGGTTAAATTCCTGTTTTTGTTTGGTTGGATCAGAGAACCTCTGGGTTGCAGGGCCTCAGCCATGAGGGGCACTATACAAGAGGAAGTCAGGGGTGGGAGAGGGTCGATGAGTGATATGGGTTTTTGGGAAAATGAAATCGAGCTGTCATGTTGAAAACAGCAAAATCCTTGGAGGTATGTAGAGTTATCTATAAAGTGAAGGGTCAAAATGCTGGAGGATTGAGAGTTGTGAACCCGTTGAAAGTGTCAGACTCTTTGAAGTGTGTTGGGGATGGATGAACATGCTCTTCCCAGTGGGGTGCTTTTAGCGGTCTGTAAAGATGAGGATCCACGAGGAAAAATGCAGGAAGTGCACTTTTCCTGACAGGGTGGAAATCCCAACTCCCCAGTGCTGACAACTTTTGGTTGAAGTGTACTCCCAGCATGGGCATCTATCGTACCGGTCAAGCAGTTTTGAAGACCTTTATTGTGGTGCTTCAAATGCTAAAAGTATTAACATGAGACTATATCATGCAGGGGATCATGATGTTGTCTCTGAGGTGGCAACTCCTTAGTGTTGTAGCATGGAGGGAGTCATAGGGAGGATTTCGATTTTGAAAATCATATTTAGATTTTGTTGATGAGGTTTGCTTAACTATGTTAACACCATCAAGATGCTATATTCATCTCCCACCATGCCCTCTGTCAGTGTGACACCTAAGGAGACTTTATTGGAGCTTTTTGTAATTTTCATTTGTTGGCTTTAGCAGGTTTGCATGGTGTAAAATGTATCTCCTTATAACTTGTATTTGTACAAACTTTAAAAAAGGTTATTCTCAATGGTTTCTCTAAGATATCAATAAGAGCACTGGGGATGAGATCAGATCTGGTATAAAACTCACAGTCAAGAGGTGAGTCAATAAAATGTTCTGTTGCCTCTGGGAATTGGGAGGAAAAACAGGTTTACTTATTACTTTAAATTTTGTGACCACAAACATAGCCCTGCAGAAAAAAAGGTTTGAGAGGATTATTGAGAATTTGCTGCCCATGAAAAGATATGTATCTTCCTCCATCACATAAAACATCCTGCTGTGAACCTCTGATTACGAGAAAATACAGTGGTTGGGTCTTTTAGATCCTCTGTTCATTTCTGTTTACATTTATCTTTGCTCAAGCAAAGAAATATTCTTGTTAAGGAAACTAATTTTTTTGTGAATGATTTTCAGAAAGAACTCCACCTGCAGAGAGGAGAGAGCTTCTGCTTCTTCCAATGAATTTCCAGCAGGCTGTACACAAGGAAGTGTAATGCTGCCCTCTGCAGGTGAGAGCTTATTTTGTTATCTCATATTTCTTACTACAAGCCAGCTGACTGGGGGTATGCCTGCTCTACCAGTAGGTCGGAGCTCTACATCAGGAGAAAAGATCTGGTTTCTGTCTTCCCTCCCCTTCTCCTTTTCTCTTCATATCACCTGTCTCTCCTTCCTTCTCCTCTTCTTCTCTATCCTGTCTCTCCTCATCCTCCTTCTCTTTCCTCTCCTTCTGTCTTTGTCCTCTCTCCCTTCTTCCTTCCTTGTTTCCATAACTACCTGCCCCCCCTCTCTTCCTTCTCCTGTTTCAGCAAAGTTATTAAAAATTAAAGTGTTTTAATGTTGTTTCTGTCCCATCATTGTTACCTCTCTCTTTATGTTTATTTTCAGTTTGTAAAATAATTAATTATCTTTAAAATGTATCAAGCTGTGTGATGGTAATCATGACACCACATGTGTACGTTCCCCTTGACACTGGTGTGAAACATGGGAACCGTTTTGCATACAACAGAGAGAAGTTGTTTCATGTAAAGCAGAACAGAAATACTCCATGAAGACGTGTCAGTAAATCTGTAATGATGTTCCCTCTCTACCTCAGTTTTCAGCATTGTATTATTCTGCCTTTTCTCCCAGGCTTTGCAAATAAAATTTACCACAAGACAGTTGTTTTAATTTCATCAAATCCTCTCAAAACATTAATTCAAAAATAATTTAGAGGGGAAAAAAGAAATGACAACACCTCAGAGTGATTATAAATGAAAACACTCCTTTCTTTTTAATGAAGGATTTAGCAGCAGGGTATTAAGTTGAAATTAAAATGACGGTTTTCTTTTTTTACTCTCCCAGACAGTGCTGAGCGTGAACAAGTAAAAATGAGCCCGCTCATATTTTCATGAACTGTATACTGAACCAGCCAATAACTTATGTTTGGGTACGTGAGCGTAGTTCACCCCTGGGACAGTGAGCGACAGCTTATATTCAGAAAGGTGCTGAGAGATGCCGAGCACTGTGTTTTACTGCAGCAGAAGTCAGATGTACGACACTCTTCATGCATTCAGTATGGCTAATCCAGCTGACAGTGCAAACACTGGGGTTAAAAGTGCATGTGAGACCTGTGCCTCTGAACATTTGCTGGAGTTTTATGGGGACAAGGATCAAAGCATAGATGGCTATACTGAGAAAGTGAACTTGTAGCTAAAAAATGAACGTGAACTTGTTCCTTTTAATTGGTGTGAACTAAACTTTGAGCTAGCTTTTTTTTTTTTTTTTTGTGAGCTTGCACAACACTGCTCCCAGACATGCTTTGATGAATCATGAGCCCAGCTAAGCTAGGTAATTAGCCTAGCCTCAGCTTGAAATATGTGTAACATACCTTTCTGAGCGTCTTGGTAAAAAGTGCCGAGCAGTATTTAACCCCAATGAAATGAACACATTTACCAACTAAATTCAGATAGAACCTGTGTGTCTTATTTAAATCTTTAGTCTATCCTGACAGAAAACTGCAAAATAACAAAATTTGTGTCTATTAATGTACAAAAAAAAAAAAAAAAAAAACAGAAGAAAGTTTTAAATCTCAAATGTGCAATAACAGGTTAATTTATCAAATAAAAAACAAAATCATTAAATTGTCAAATTAGCAGCAGTTACAGTTACAAAGATATCAGTGAATAGCACAAATGAATAAGCCAGTCTTTGGAACTGAGAACATTATGTTTTGAGGTCCTAAAATATCAAATACGGAATTTTAAAATTTCTTTTTAAGAGTGAAAGAAAGAAGTCTGAACTTTGCTGTTGTCAAGAAAACTTTTTTGTGTATTTCAGTTTTTTTCCTTCATACTCATCACATCCATCTATACTATTAAAAGAACCGCAGTACCTTGATTTCACACCATCCTGTCCTCTTTGTAAACTCTGGATGTGAGCAACACAGTTTCCTGATAGTCTGAAGCTGCCCTGACTGTCTTTGAGAGTCAGTTTAATAATCAGACTCACTTTCTAACAGTGCAGAAACTTCACATGTGTAAGAGCTTTTACTTTGTTTCTAACACTGTCCGTAAACTCAAAAGATATAAAGTCAATGCCATGGATGTTTGCACACTATAATACCACAAGAGGGGAGTAAAGCACAGAATAAGACTCCACTTACATTCATATTACTGTGTGATGAGGTGAGGGTAAGACTTGATCAGGCTATATTCAAGGCCTTGACCCCAAGACCCCCAGACCCCAAAGCACCAAGAACATTTAGACTTATAAACTGTATCTTATTTATGTAATTTGTTACAAAATCAATTAACTCTCCTGCTCCTTCAGGACAAAGGTGTTTTCAGCTTCCTCTAGAAGCTCCTGAAAACAGAGAAATCACCAGATCAGAGAGAAGTATCAACAAATCTACAGCTCCACCAAGCCTTCAGCCTCTTTAGGGTCTTAGTTAAACAAAGAGGGAATGTCATCAGCTGAACACAACGCGACTCTCAGTGAAAAATCGTTCATCTCTCCAAGAAAACAAAGGCTGAACTGAAACAGGTCCTACTTTAATAACGTGTCTGTTTCTGGACTGTTAGAGTCATTTATGCTCAGGGTAACATGTCAGCTGCTGCCCTCTGGCCCCCTCTACTGGACATCAGATGATACAGCTCGTACTGATGAGAAACTCCTGTCTGACTCTGTATGAAAGCAGCCAGTGACTGACCTTCTTTATTCTAGGCCATGTTAAATTCAGACTGTACTATAAACTTTCAGACAGTTTATGATCCAGACCCTCAAATGTCCTCACAGTAAAAACTGATCATCTGAATAAGTGAGAAATAAGCTAAGGCAGGCCATTCTGCATCACACATGTTATTTGGTTCTCCAAAGTGGACTCTGATGCTGTTGCTCTTCAGTCGTTTTTACAGTGTGATTTCTTATAATGTTCCATAAGCTTCATCAAGGCTACATTATACAATCTTTGGGTTTCATTTACTAAACATCAGTCCAATTTTATGAAATTTAATGTACACATCAAATTCTAGAAATGGACTTAAACTCACACCAGATTCAGGAACAGTGGAAAAACTTGGATTTTATCTTAAGTTCATAGATGCCAGTCAATCCTGAAGTGACAGAAATCAGTGTGGTAAGAGGGAGACACGTTCAAATCTGTGAGTATGGATTATTATCTGTGCACAGATTACATGTTTTTTCTTTATTTATAATTATTTTCATGATCTTAGGGCTCTGTAAACATGCAGATCTGTAAACAGTCTATATTCTGACCAATTAATATAACAGACTGTGTTTAAAATAAATAGAGTTCTTTACTTGGTCAGAGCACTCGGAGAAACATTTCCTTGTTGTTATACGTCACAATACTGCTCACTGCTTCCTCCTCATAAACTTCGCCCTGAGCTCCAAAGCTGCAGCCTTATGAGCTACCAAGCCTTTGTGCGCTCTCTAAAATACATGCATCAGTTATGGGTATTTTTTACAGTCTGCAAATATAACTGTCGCTGACATTGACCTTGCTGTGCACTTATTGAATAGGGGAACACAGTCAGTTGCTCTTGCTTACTCTGCTCGGTGAAATAAGGTTCATATTGTGGATATGTTGGTAAGTGATGACTGTCAGCAAACTTTCTGCTGCTGCAGCTAATGTATTGGGTCCATTAGTTGCTGGGGTGCTCTCCCTATAAACAATATTAGCCTTGGTAATATGTGTGTGAAGTGTAGCCTACAAATAGACAAATAAACACTTGTAATTAGTCATAAAAGAGGCTCAAAACATGACCCAAAATGTGATTTGCAGGTGTCAAACTACATCTGAACCCACTGATAGTAGAGACGGTAGATTAATGACATTTACTCACAGCCCACAGTCATCAAGTTGTGTGTTTTTGGTGTTTGTGGTGCTCAGCCCCAAAGGTTTGGATGATCACTGCCACACACGTATTGAGTTGGAAAAAGAAGGACACAACCAGGGGCAGATCCAAAGTGTCACCAAGGGTGGCCATAGCCTCAGTTAATCTGATCGGATTAACTCTAAAATCCTAAAAAAGATTGACCAATCATCTGGTCGGGAGTGTTACCACTAACAAACTACTGTGGATGTGCTGCAACAGGCTCCCACTGTCCAGCATTTCACAGTAGCATTCTCCCTTTAAATCAGTATTTTGAATTATGGTTTTGGATAAGCATATCTGGTTTTATTCTTTGCAAAAGTCAGTGCACTTGTTTGGCCATCCCAGTCAATCAAGTATTTCCTCTCTGTATGCAGTTGATGTAATCTGGTGAGCTATTTAGTTTCATGTCTTTTGTTGCGCATGAACAGAAACAATAGAGAGGAAAAGTGATGGACTTTCAGAGGGTGTTTTGAGCATTAACAACAAAAAACAAGACATTGTGTTAAATTTTTTTGGCGTTGCCTGAGTTGTTAGAGTTCTTAAAGGGGAGGGCATCTTTTTCTTATGTTCCAAACTAAACCATAATATAAACTAAACACTAAATTACTTAAATAACTCTAGAAAATCTTGGAGTTCATTTTGTGGATTCCACAGGACAGAGTCATGGATGACAAACACACTCAAGTATGATCCCCTTTTGTGCATCTTCACCTCTCAGAGGACACTACCCTGCTTACTCAAAGCCATATCTCCACCGTTTGTCTGTTTGTATGACTTCAGTAATTACCTCACCTCTGAGTTGAACACGTGTTTAGCTGCATCACCCTCCTCTATCTAAACACAGATACCTCACAGTGAAACCTCAGCAGATGCCTGCCACATGAGAGAATCTTCTGTCAGTCATGAATGTCGATTATCACCTGGAAGTTATCTGTGGGATGCAAACAAAACAAACACACCACACAGAGGGGAAGTCAATAAAGACGGAGGAGACACTCAAATACAGAGACACTATTGACAAAACACACAATGGATAGACACAATCAGGAAGTGAGCAGAAGTGTGTGAACACATATTTCTTTGCACTCTGCTCTGTGACGGATTTTGATGACTTTGCCCCAAATTCAGGAAGGTCTGTTTTTCTTTGGTACAATGAAAACAGTGTGATTCCAGTCTGTGCCAAAATCTTGTTTATCCAGGTCAGCTGCAACAACCACAGAGTTCCACCAGGAATTTATTTGGTCGGCTGGCCCTAATATCAACCCTATCCAACCCCTCCGAGATTATCTCAAACACTGACTGCAACAGGGCCTTATCGCCAAACATCAGTGCTGATCTTATTACTGCTTTGGGCCCTGAGTGGGAGCTAATCTCAGCAGCCGTGCTCAGAAACCCCTTTTGGAAATTAAAGCTGCAGACTCATTTTTCAGCTGCAAAATGATGCCATAATTTCATAATCACAGGTATGGTGATCAATTATAGTTATAGTACTCTGTTGCCCGCCTACTTTTTGCAACACTGAATGAAAGATGAACAGATTAACTACTTGTGGGAGACTAATTAAGTTGTGTGAAGTCTCTTATCCAGACGATAAGTTATTCAAACTATTTCAGCAATCTGAATTTCACCTCACGTCCCCATCCTGTGATCTGGATCCTCCTGACCTCTAAATGGCCCCACAGAAGATCTCAAGGACTAGGTTGACAAAAAAAGAGCACTAAAAGGGTCATACAGAGACAGTCAGAGATTGAGGGTTACTGATTTTTTTAAGAATTTGCTGGAAGGCTGAGAAGCCGAAAAGAGAGATCTTGATTTTCTGGTCGGACTGGTACAGCGAGAGGAGGTGTAGGCTGCCTCTCCGAGCTTGACAGGTGTGGTTAGAGATGAACAAAAAACCAGAAAGAGAGAGACAAGGCACAGAGAAAAGAGGGAGGGAAAAGAGAGGTGAGGCTCGTGGATTGAAAATAACAGGTGGAGCGGAGACAAAGCGCCATTCTTACATTTCCTGTGGTCATCAGAGTGAGTACAAGCTTTAGAGACATATCTGAGTTTTAGTTGCTTCATAACAACGACAGAAAGATTTCAGACTTTGACCGGAAATTTTGTGGATCTAATAGAAACAGGTGGACGCTGTGAGGCAGCGAGAGATGGCCGAGGCCGCAAGTATTGAACTCTTTGTAAAGGTAAGACCTACAATACGTGACAGGTGTTGATACAAAGCATAACAGGTGTGGATCAGGGATACTATACAGCAATGTACAATCATTTCTTACATATCTATACTTCTGTTGTTTTTATTTAAGGATAACTTACCTGACATTGAGTAAACTTAGTGTTAGTATGACTAATATGTGAGTAAAACAGCAGTTTCCATCTAAAGTTTGTATGTGTATCATAATGAAACCTTAAATATGTCTAAAATTAAAGCATTCAAGAGCCTCTGTGAACCAGGACTGCTGGAGTTAATGAAAAAATATTATTTCAGATGTAACAGTCTGTAGTATTGAGGCATAATGCTGATGTGAGGTCTTTTGGTTAACAGTTGACTATAAAAGGAGGGCTCTCTGATTTTAAAATGGGTCCTTTTCAAAAGACTCCTGCTAAACCCACACTGAAATGATATCATCCTGTCAGACGCAATTATGTCGCATTAAAGCAGAGATTAAAAAACAAGTTTCAGATACTGGGCTGTTTAATCTGGGTGTAAAGCAACCTCAACCCTCCATTTGAAATTCCTCAGCGGTTGACTGTCAAAGCAGAGCAGGCTCGACAAGATTACCTCTTCAGGTATTCTTGCTCTGGTCAGACACCTTCTGTCCTGACGCCACAGTCAAGCTAAACATGTCTGAACTTAAGAGTTTTAAGGCGGTGTCACATCTTTCCGTTAATGAAGTAATATGTGTGTGTCCATCAGGCCAGTTTTGATGCTGAGCGTGTGGGGCACTGTCCCTTCTGCCAGAGGATCTTCATGATTCTGTGGCTAAAGGGGACCAGCTTTAAAATCACCACAGTGGACATGACAAGGTGAGGGAACATTTTGACCTCCTGAAGTGGCTGATCTTGGTTTTTTGACTGACAGGAGTTTAATACATGAACACTAATATCTTATAATAGAAAGTCATGAGACAGAAAAAGAAATAGTGGCCTTTGTGGTAATAACATGTCTTCAAATGTATAGGTGCTCATGTTATTATCTCTCAGGGCTGCCTGTAATTTTAAAGTTACTTCAAAGACTATCTTGACGTGAAGCATACTGTATATCTTGAGATGCCAAGTAAAACTCACTACACCTCAGTATCTTATTTTCAATGCAATCATCAGAGAGGTTTAAGAGGGGAAGCAAGCTAAACCGGCATACATCAGGGGCTAAAGGACTCAGCTATAATTAGTAGTAATTTTAAAGAGACACAGAAAAGTAAATATGGCATTTCTTTCCTTGACACTTTAAAATAAAGCTGACACATCCCAAAAACTTGGAGAACTTTAAAACCAGGCAGAAAAGATGAAGCCTTGCAGCAATGTTAACCATCCTTTATGCCATCTCTAAAAGATGAACAATAAAGAATTAATGGGTTTAAGGCATAGTAAGAGATTAGAATTAAGAGCAAAGTAGTTTGATCGTGACAGTAAGATAAAAGTTGAGGTCCGGAAGATGGATTTTCACTATGAGTCTGGTTCTGCCCAGGGTCTCTGCCTGTTTTAAGTAACTACTATTACCAAATGTCGCTAAAGACTTGCTCATAGTAAGCCTGTGATGGGTCTCTTAAATTATACAATAAATATAACAATCTAGACCTCCTTTTTTGTAAAGAGTCTAAAGATAACTTTTGACATTAACTTAAACTCAATAATAAAAGCTGATAGACTGATTTAGATTTTTTTCGAGTCTCATTTCAGTGTCTGACAAGGTCATTCATAATTCAAAACAGCAGACTCTGATGGTATTTTAAAGCTGCAGTTTCATTAATACTGTTCCATTTTTAATTAGCTACAAAAGCTGATGAGGAAGAAGACTGACAACCACTAATTGTTTTTAAAGCATTAAACTGCTGCAGCAGGGGAGATGGCAAACCAGGCGCATAACAGATATAAAGCAGAAACAGCCTCTGTTGTAAACAGCTTTCATGGCAATGGTTCAGGATGAGTGATGAATGTATCATCCTGCTGTGTTTTTTTTATACTACAACACAGCAGGATGAGGTTGTTTACATAAAAACACTAGTTACAGACACATAGGACAAGATCTGTGAATAAATATGAGGGACTATTTTCCAGTCATCATGAAGACAAATATCAGAGTTTCCTCCAGTTGTTTTCAGTAAATTAGAGTCCCATTTGTTAACATATGACCCTTTTCCTACCTTTCTAATCTAAACCTTTATTCCTGTTCTGCCACAGGGCCCCTCCTGTGCTGAAGGCTTTGGCCCCAGGCTCTCAGCCGCCCTTTCTTTGCTACAATGATGAGGTTAAAACTGACACAAACAAGATTGAGGAGTTCCTGGAGAAGACATTAGCCCCACCACAGTGAGAAGACTGCATCCTGTTGTCTTGTTATCTCATTGATTACTTCACCTACAAGCTCTTATGTTTTCCATTTCACTACTGGCAGGTATCCAAAATTGTGCTGTCGGTACAAAGAGTCTAACGGGGCTGGAGAAGACATCTTTCGGACATTCTCTGCATACATTAAAAACCCCAACCCTGGGCTAAATGAGAGTAAGGCATACATTTACACTTCACAAGGAGTTATAGTCATGCCTGTCTTAAGTTTGCCTAGTAAAGGAGCTTGTTACACCTTTGTTTTGTATAGTGCGAGAGAAGAAATTCCTTTCCACTCTGGTGGCTCTGAACCTTTACCTGGAGACGCCCCTTCCTCATGAGCTGGACGAGAATCCCAATGCCACCAAGTCCTCACGCCTCTTCTTAGATGGGGACAACCTCACTTTGGCAGACTGCAACCTGCTCCCTAAGCTCAACATTGTCAAGGTGAGCAGGGAACAGCCCAGTTGAAAATAGAAAACTATTCTTTTTGTCCTCATCAGAAATGGATCCAAACAGTTATTCCCTTCTTTCAGGTGGTGTGTAAGCATTTTCGTGACTTCGACATCCCTGCTGAGCTACAAGGTCTCACACGTTACCTGGAGAATGCCTACAAACGAGACGAGTTTCGTTACACATGCCCACCAGAATCAGAGATAACCGAAGCTTATCAATCAGTGGCAGTGTACCTGAAACAACACAAGAGGTAAAGATGATGCAATGCGAGTGTCGACAAAGAAGACTCAATTCAGATATATTGCGATCTATTGAGATCTATTGAGAAAAAGTGACAAGATGCCTGAAAACTGTGTAGTTTGTGTTTTATGTGTAGGAAAAGTATGGTTCCAAAACACATTTTTGCAATGGCACATCCACACATTAGTGCTTTTATAAATTGGTTTCTAGTATTTGCAGAAAAAAAGCTGTCTTTGTACACACTGTATATACTGTACTGTATGCTCTAGTTGATGATTTGGATTTCTTACAAAGCCCCTGTAGGAGAGTAGAAGCACTGCAAATCCAAAGGAATTCATGTCTTGTCTTTTGTGTATACATGTGTTATGTCTAAGAATTTAAAGTCTGTTGATTACAATTCCTTTTACCATATAATAAATACAGATTTATCTTTAATAATATATATTTTATACTATATATGTAGAGCATTTAAAGAGAAAACACGGAAACAAATGGCCTTGACTGTACATAAGGAGAGCGGACTGTTGTTAATAACTGTTATTTGACTTTGCAATATTGTATAATGGTGGATTTAAAGAATATCATACCATAATAAAACATTTTACACCTTTTTCCATCATTTTAACAGTCCATCTTTGCTTTTTTGGAAACACTGTACATCACAGTGGTTATTGTTGTCTATGGTATGCATTTTAAATGAACTAAATGAGTAGGTCTACAGGGTAAAGTCTATTGAATAGTTGTGAATAAAAGCTAAAATAAAATAAAGAAAATCAATTTTCACTGATGTGTGTTTTATTACAATGAAGTGCATAAATGCCAAAAAAAGGAATGATAGGCATATAGTCCTTTTTTAGAGAAATATTTACACTGACAAATCATTCAGAGCTGCTGCGAAGAACTTTTGGTTTGTTTTGTTTTTGATACCTTCTGTGAGCAACAGCATACATCTTATCTCTTAGCTAATCTCTTCTTCTATATATCAAGCGGTATTTTCAGAAAAAAAAACCCAGAGTATATGCTGTTGAAAATGTCATATAAGGCTGTTTCTTTGGCATACTGTTGATTGTTGATCTGTTGATACCCACCCCTTATGCAGCCGTTTCAGATAAAAGCAAAACTGTCAGTCGTGTTGCTGGAGGTCTTTTTTACTTTTGCAAATCATTAAAACGATTAATTTTCATTTGGATCTGTTTCACAACAATTTAAAAACTCCTCACAGTAGGTTTTAATGTAATGATGTGGTTAACAGTTGGAGTACTTGTGTATCTGATAATACAGCATCACCATTTTTGTACAATGAAGACACACTCTACAAGAATGCCATATACTGCTCTTTGCTTTATCACAGGTCACCAATGGCACCTTGTTGACAAGTAAGCTAGTCTTAGGCTGTGTCCGAAATGGATCCCTAACCCCTATACAGGTGACTACATGGGGGTTAGCATCATTTTGAGGGGTGTCCGAAACCTCAATGATCAATTCCAGTGCCCTATATAGGTGACTCAAAATTTCCCATAAAGCATTACAAAATGTAGTGACCATCCAATGGTCTGATGGGGTTAGGGGTTAAGGATTGAGTAATTCATTTGGGACACAGCCTTAGTTGGGCTGTAAACATCCAAGTCCTCATGTTCCCTCATTGGTAGACTCCCTCCTTCATTGACTAGTCCCTTAATGTCTCCAAATATTTCAAGTTACACAACCAGATCCAAAAACAGGGTTTCTTTAAAACACTGAGGCCTAGAGCTGGATGGATAAAGTCTGTTTCTAGAGCTGCTACCCCAATTATGAGAAACAACTTTTAAATGACAGCTAAACTACCCTAACATTTTTATAGAGGAAGTTTCTGGGCTTTTAAAATACAGTACTTTAAAAGTAGGAAAACGTCTGAAGGGTTTTGGGGTTTGCAAATATGAATGTGATTGTGAATATACCTCAGATCGTTACAAAAACCTGTGTCCATGTGTGTTAATTTCGACAATAATGATGAAAAATAGACCTCGGTCCCCTCTGCTAAAGAACAACTATGCTCTGATATTCACCCTTCACCGATGAGAGTCCACTCCTGTTGTAACAATCTTGTAATCTGTAAGGAAACACTAGTTCAAGATACCTTTGTTCCGAGATGCCTTCATCTGATGGAGTAAACAGGAAGACCGGAGGACTGGGATGTGCCTCTTCGGAACCTGATTGGACAAATCCTTTAAACGGTACCAAGGCAACAGCAGTCATCAAACCTGCCATTGGTGGAGGAAGAAAATAGGCGGAGCTTAGCAAGTGACAGCATACAAAAAACTTTGTTAGCGCTCTGCTAACTTTACTGAACCGTTTCTTTATAATGCTGCTCTCCTGAAGAAGCGGACCAGAAGTCCTTAAAAGTAAGGCTGGTATCGTATTCCCACAGAAAACATCAACCTAAGGATGGAAATTTACTTCAGTTCTTATCGGGGGGCAGGGTGGGTTAACCGTAGCCAGCCAGCTGCTAGCCAGTGTTATTTTAGCTAACGGCTAATGCTCAGAATGTTGAAATAAACATCAGGAGGTTAATGTGTTCAAAGCTGATCAAACAGCTGTGGTGAACGCTTCAACACGCAGACAGGAGGTCAGATGAGAGGCGAAGCATGCTGAGGAATCAAAAACTTACTTCCTCTTTTCGCAGTTTTTTCCATGACTTTGTGTTCCTCCATGAACTAAAACCTTTTCACTCAGTTTCTGACTGTCTCTGCTGCTAAACTTCAGGCTAATTCACTCTCTTCTTTGCTCTTTTCTCGTAGGATGGAACACCATGAAGAGGACGATGGAACCCTGTGCAAATGGCCGAGTGTGAGTTTGTTTGATCCACTTTGACTGTCTGAACTCTGAGACTGAAAACTGCAGCTGGCGAATCCAGACATGAACACAGTGTACATATACTGACCCAGATCTGACAGACAGACAGCTGCAATAACGAGCTACGCCATTATGAACTTGTTTGTTAATGTTATTTTACCTAAGGAAGAAACTCATCATAAGAAACTTTATTATAGGGCTGGGCGATATGGTAAAAAGTTAATGATGATATATATTTTTTCATATCAGTCGATATATAAAAATGAAATTTAACTGTTTATCGGTCGCATGTCTTTTCCAATACAATAATCTACTTCATCTGTGAGGTCTTTGAGTCTCTTCGACGTTTTTCTGTTTCGGCTGCACAGGCGCCATGGGCTCCTTGCTCCTCTCGGGGTTTGTAACCTTTTGCGTTGTGCGTGCTCTGCGGCGTGGCGCTGCTTCAGGTGGTGAAAAAGATTTGAGGTATTCCCCGACTTTGTGAGAACATGTACTCGACTTAATTTTCAGTACACATTACTCTGCTTCATGTCCGACCTCAAAAAACAAAATACCTCCACACCACCAACGTTTCGTGCCAGTGGTGTTGACAATGTCGTCATCTGTTGAGCCTTCATGGTCATTTCTGTCGGGGGTAGCACTCATTTTCTTTTTTCTCACCAACAGTGCTGTCGGCTTCACCTGTTAAAGTTCTATGGTTGGATGTAGCTGCTGTCTGCTAGGACGCAGTTGTTTGTTACTTGGTTCTAATTCAGCACATGATTGGTTCAGTGTGAAGCGGACCCGGAGCAAATCCACTTTTCATTGGCTATTCATAAAGTCTATCAAAACATGGCAGAATGCTGACTATTGAAATGCATATTGATTATGTTGTATATTGATATTGAGGGAAATTAATTTTCGATATATTTTGATGTCGTTTTATCGCCCAGCCCTACTTTATTATTCGAAACAGTAAACTTACAACTAGATCTCACTCAACTAACTAAAAGAGAATAATTTTGCTCTTAATTAATAATATTAATAATAATAATACATTTTATTTGTAGTGCCTTTTACATCAAGAGACCCCAAAGGGCTACATCGTAAAGGCAAAGAAATATCACAGTAAAGAATTATAAAAATAGGTTATTGGTTAAAACAAGAGAAACATCTTATGAAAAGAGTAAAAGCAAGATAAGCATTTTTTCCCCCTCTATATTAGAACACTTTTACCCCAGCACTGAAGCATGTAGACTTTTGGTTTTGTCGCATTTTTAAATGACAAAGTTATTATTAAATTTCCCTTTGGAGATCAAAAAAGTACTTCTTATATTATCTTATTTTTAATGAAAGTAGTTGTATGTTTCTCTCATTTCAGTACTGTCTCTACCTCTTTATTCTCAATTGTATCAGAGTAACTGTGTTAACCTGTTATGTTTTTAGGTACTTAATCAATACAGCAAAAGTGACATCACATTACGGGTGCAAAAATTCGTGGAGGAGAGGATGCAGACCACCATGGTATGAAGACGCAATTTTAATGACAGCATGTGCTTTCAACAAGCAGAGAGACCTGTGCCATGTATTCAGATTGGGTAGTTTAGGCCTGCTTTGTCTTTATAGGAGAGGATTAACATAATTTGGTGGGTTGTGATCATTCTTTTGACTACTTTTTGGTACGACTTGGATGGTTTCCACCTGGGGAAATAATACTTAGTTTTGGCTCATTTACTCCTCTAATAAGAGTAACTGGGATTGGAATGTCACCAAATTGAATAGACTTTGCTCTTAATATACATACTCCATACTTACAGTTATATCGGCTTGTAATGTTTTGTTTTAACCTTGCAAACTAAAAACAGCAGCAGTGGGCTGCTCCTGGTTTTGAATTTTGGCTTGTTATTGTTTGTTCACTGTTACTTTACTTTCTCTGGTTTAAATACATGTAACACTCAAAGACTACTTAGAATTAGTACATGGTCATTGACTGGAACGTGGCTTTGGACTTCAAAGTATAAGGTCCACAAACAACCAGCTTAGTCAGCCAAGTACACTGTATACCTAACCCTCATGTGATCTTTACATTGCTGCAATGCTCTTGTCTGTCCTGTAGCTCACCGGTGCACTAATTGGAGCGGCAGTCGCAGTCTCACTGATTGGGATTGTGGTTCTCTTCCTCTACCGGAGGTTTAAGCTTGCTCGTGAGTCATCAAACATCTCAGTGGCCTATATGTGCATCTGTGACAAATGCCATGTTTAGTATGGAAAGTATTGAAAGTTTTGAAAAGCATTATGTTCTTTTGAGAAAGCCATCTTAAGATTGATAACTTTGCACTTTGTTTTGTATTTCCGGACAAGGAGAACGGCAGCCTGGGGTACCGCAGTACCGCTTCAGGAAACGAGATAAAGTGCTCTTCTATGGAAGGAAGATAATGCGAAAGGTTTCTTTTATTTTCCATTCATGACAGAAATTCATACACATTGAACTTTAAGGTCTGATTGATTTAAAAACTCCTCTGCAAAATAAATTTGGTAAATGGTTTTCAATAAATAAGGCTAAAGGTTGGGCAATGCAGTTTCTATTTTTCACACTTCAAACCCTAATTCCATTAGGATGCTGTCTATGATGTTAATGAAATCAGTTTCTGCATATTAATTAAACCTGCATTCTATTAAGAAATATGCAAAGATGACATAGCAAGCATTGAATGACAATTTTTTATAAAAGCAGTTTTGACCTGTCTTAATGGATACAGCAATATCTGTGTTTATAGGTAGAGTATTTTGAATATTGTCACCTATTTAAAATAATGGCTTAAGTCACTTTTTGACAAAAATAGCTTTTTTTCCCTCCTAAGTCAGTCCTTCATGATGCTGCCCATCTCTGGTAGAATTACCTAAATCCTAATTTGAACAGATTGTTCATAAAAAATATTCATTTTTAGCATTTAATATGTTGTCTTTGCGCAATTTTTAATTAAACATGGATGATGTGGATGTTTTGCATACCATCAAATTCTAGTGTTTCAACAATTAACATAGCGTTCCACCTCTAATAGAATTGGGGTTATAAATATAACTCCCCTCAACCCTGAGAGCAATCTTTTCACCACTCCATGACACCACCTCTTTTTTTTCGACCCTTTTCCATGATTAATTTGCTCTGTGCCTTTGTAAACATATGAAACATCTTGTTGATTTTGCTGTTAAGAGAAAAAAAAAACACTAAAATCTGTAATGTTTATTTTTCCAAGGTCCAGACACTGTCTTCGATTCCTCCCCCGTCTTCTACCTCAGTATCAAAGCAACCGCAACGCATCCGCAAGAGAACCAAAGTTCTAAGCATAGCTCGCAAGTATGCTTCAGGAATACATTTTCTATTTTCTGTGTGGAAGTGAAACTTTCAAACAACTCCTCAGACACACTCTGGCCTTGTATTGACGATTGACCGAGGATGTCTTTTGTACTTTTTTCCACAGAATCTTGAGGATCCGTAAAGATCCTCCCACACTGCAGCCAAAGGAACCTCCTCCCTCCCTGTTGGAAGCTGACCTGACAGAGTTTGATGTGCAGAGTTCAAACTTACCCTCAGAGGTTCTCTACATGCTGAAGAATGTTAGGTAAAAAAAAGGCCTCTTCTTTCTTTCTTTGTTTTTTTTACAGATTTGTCCCTTTTGTTTTTAAAAAATGTTTATGTCTCTTTGTAGAGTCTTGGGTCATTTTGAGAAGCCCCTCTTTCTGGAGCTGTGCCGACACATGGTATTTATCGAGCTGCAGGAGGGTGAAGGACTTTTCAGGCCAGGAGATGATGATGATAGCATTTTCGTAGTCCAGGATGGACAACTGGAGCTCTGCATCCAGGAGAACGTATGTGGATAAAAACATGTTTCACCAAAACATAGCAACATAGAAACAGAAGTCAAATATTAATCAAGTTATATTCTTAAGTTATATGTGCTTGTTTTACTTCATATTATCCTCTGTACTTCTACCTCTCTGGTGTCTGTTTCTGTGCTGTCAGTCACAGGAAATGAAAAAATACAGACAGTAGGGGGCAGTAGGGCACTAGAGTAGCCTTGTTTGTAAAATAAAGGTGTTGTTCTGCTTGTAGCTGGTTGCTGTCAGTAAATACAGATCATGAGTACAAATCTTTACCTCTCCCCATCATATCCCCACGTTGTCCAGTTTGATCAGAAGCTAAATCTGCATGTTTTTCAAAGCATCATTTGGAGAAATACAGAGTTGTTTGTATAATTGCAGTTTTCTTTTTTTTTTTCCTCAGGATGGTACAGAGCCGGTTGTAAAAGATGTGCACCCAGGAGACAGTGTCCACAGCCTGCTCAGTATTCTGGACATCATCACTGTGAGCTCCCCCATCTCCTTCATCTGCACATCAGACTTACTCCACTGCTCCTGTCCTTGTTTGCCTCCTGATCTGTTTCTCACTTCACTGTCTCAATTGTTCTCATCTTAAGTGATGTTTCTTGTGTGGAGCAGTTCTTTTTGTGCTGTCTGTTCAATTCACTTTATTTATCTATTACCTTGACATTCCCGCAGACTCTTTCATTGAGGTAATTTGTGTAGCTGCATACTCTGATTTGTTCATCCATTCAGGTGAAATATCTTTGATGAGAGCTGTATGTTTAAGGGTCTTTTGATGCAATAGGATAAGTCTTTAGTTCAGAACAGACTGTACTGTCCACAAACATGACTTTGAAACTGAAAATTCACAATAATCAAGCTTAAAAGCTCTGTGAAATAAATATGTCAAAGCTGCATTATTGTTGGCAGTAAACCGATACAGATTGAGGTACAAAGAAATCATTTACTAAACAGTTGGAGCATCAACAGTGTTTATTTTAATTGACTGTACAGACGGAAAAATCTGTATGACTAGTTGGTCTAATGCTTCCAGATTTAGGTACTGCTTTCTGATTTTATTGGTAGAAATGCTTCATAGTGATTGATTATTTCATGTGGAGATGGTTGAAAAAGTCAAAGTTTATTTTGTGGTTAAGTGACTGTCTACTCTGTCTTCGTCTTAGCTTAATAACTGTTTTGCGTTTCCCAGGGTTACCCAGCTCCGTATAAGACTGTTTCTGCACGGGCTGCAACTCGCTCCACCATCTTACGTTTACCCGCATCAGCTTTTGAGTCTGTGTTTAAGAAGTACCCAGAAACACTTGTTCGTGTTATTCAGGTAACACATTGTCTTAGAAGTGCTTCTTGACTGAAGCACATCAGTGTCATGTTAAATGTAATCATTTCGATCTAATTTTGGTGTAACTACATCTGCTGTATAATATGTTCTGCTCTCTGATTCTCCGTGTTGCAGATAATCATGGTGCGCCTCCAAAGAGTCACCTTCTTGGCGTTACATAACTATCTGGGCCTCACAACTGAGCTCTTCAATCCGGTAGGAGGGAAATTAATTAGTGCTCACACATTTTATGTGTAGACACACACCGTCCTGCTGAGAGGCTGGCTATGAATTTGTACATAAACAAGCACAGACAGGCACACACACAAGGTCACACACATGCAAGCTAATTTCACACAACATTAAGCGCGGTATCATAACTCGGTCCTTCACGAAGCTCACTCAGATGAATCAAAATTATTTCTAATCCTCCACACAATAACGGAGGACAGTCGGCTTGAACCCGGGTCTGCTTACAGCTGAAGTTTTTTCATTTTTAGAGGAACAATGCGGATGGACCCGTCTTGTTCTTATTTCTTTTATTTTGATTGTTAAGTAGGTTTTTCAGTTTTGTTGATATTACAGTGTTTCAAAAGTTATTTTTTCCCTTGCCTCAGCTAACTGAATGTTGCTTCTTTGTTTTGTTTTGTTTTGTTTCTTTTTCTTCCTTGATTGACAGGAAAGTCAGGCGGTGCCCTTGACCAATATAAACAACATGATGGCCGAGGCAAATTCCATAAAGACCCCCCGTCGTTTGCACTTTCAGGACGAGTTACCTGCCGGCACCACAGAGAGCCCCACAGATCCCGGTCATTATTCCACACATACACTTTATACGCATAGGTAGTTTGCACTGTGTTGGGTTGAGACTGATCCAATGCTAACACTTCACTTTGCAATAAACAGATGGTGGAAAGGACAGCCCTTCAAACAGCCACAGGAAGCCGCGATCTACATCTATGCCCACTGACTGCACAGGTAGGTGACAGCCTGGGACATAAGCGATCTCCAAATGGCATCTGTCTGTTTTAATTTCCTGCACTGACTTATCATAGCTGCTGATCTGGGAGCAAGGACACACACACCAAACTCATCTTCCTCCTCTCTTGTCCTGAGCTTCAGGTAATGACCTGAACATGGCTTGTGAAAGAGCTCGAGTCACAATAGAAGAGGCCCCACCCAGTCCTGTCATCACTCCCAAAGTGAGTAGCCTGATCCTTGTGTCTATTTCCATTGAATTAGCTCTGTAGAACATCATTTCCCAGTGTGCATTGCAGCTTCTGCCTCTGCTCGTCCTACACGTTCAGATGAATCCCTTCTCTGTGTCTGTCTTTGCAGTCCAGTCTGAAGAAGAGCGTGACAATGCAGCACACACCCTCTGAAGTCTTTCACTACACAGACAGTGGGGGGCACTCTGATGCCATCTACCTCAATAAAAGCAGTTCAATTTTCCAGGCCGCCAAGAAAGACCTGCTGGGAATCATTCAGCTGCAGGTGAAAGGCTGACCACAGAAAACAAACGTCAACAGGGATATTTTCAAAGTGACATGTTAAATGGATAACATTTGGGATAGATCTGCTGATACTTCAGAAACACAATAAGAAGCTGTTTCAATCGTTTTTGCGTGCATATGAAAAGTTGTTTTTGTTGTTTTTTTCTTCCCAAGGACCCCAGCCTACTCGAGGGCAGAGTGACCCTCCATCAAGTGAAAGCTGGTTCTGTGGTGGCTCGACAGGGAGACCAGGTTGGGCCAACACCTTTTTACATTTGTTAAATTTGCAGACAAGACTCACCAGAAGAGTCTTCTTTTAGTGTCCTCTATTAATAAGTTGCAAAGGTTTATAATTACTTAATTTCTTTTTTTTTTCTTTATATGTAAATGGAAATTTTCTATTTATTTTATTTCTTTGCAAACATGTTCGAAATAAATGAATTCATTCAGTGAGAAAACTGTCACTTCTGCACCCTCTAATCTGTGATTTACTACACTATGCAGAAACTTAATTTGTTTTTAAACCATTGAAATGTAAATATTTACCTACTGTCTTAACTCGCACTCTCAAAAGTTATATTTATTTTATCATGCTACATTGAAATTCTCCTCCATTGTCAGAGTCCCAAAGAAAATCTCTTTATTGTTTATCCTGTTTTTGCAATGTACAAACTAACCCTTTGACTTATCCAGATAAACAGAAGCTCAACATTTAACATTAAGTTTAAAAACCCAAGTTTTAAACTAATGACATTATAATACTTAAAAATGTATTTGTGATCTTTCAGCACATCTGTATGTTTCAGTTCTCGCTGTAATGTGTGTCTTCTTCTCTCGATGCTTCAGGAGGTGAGCATCCAGTTTGTCATCTCTGGCCTCCTCCATGTTTACCAGCGGATGATTGACCGTGAAGAAGACACCCGCCTGTTTGTGACACACCCAGGAGAGCTCGTCGGTCAGCTCGCTGTCCTGACGGGGGAGCCGCTCATATTTACTGTTCGAGCCCAGCGAGACTGCAGCTTCCTCTCCATCTCCAAGACCCACTTCTACGAGTCAGTCACATGAACACACGTGCAAACATGTTGACATGGGGATAACGTGTACACAAAACATCACAGAGATCCCCTGTTTAAAGATACAGCCACCTTTAATGTCTGTTTGTAGCTGTATAAGCTTAATTTTATCTTTATGCCCATAATCATAGCTTCTACCAACATAACATAACATAAAAAATCAAGAACTGCTGTCAAATTAGACTATCTAAAGCATCAGAGTTATTCTTCATCTTAAACCTCATGACTAGTGTAGAAGGAGCTTAATTTATCTTGAATTAAACTCATAAAAACTGGATTCAAAAGCAGTTTAACTTCATGTTTCTTGTATATTCCTCTTAAATAGACATGAGTCGGATCAGTCAGTGAAGACTTAAAAGCTTTAAGCCTTAAAGCTCAACCCAAGACTGATTATTTGATCTTGTATTATTTATTGGATCTTTTTTTAACCAGCAGGAAAAATACAGAGAGTGTCTTGACCAAGATAACATTTGAGTTTTTAGTGTATGTCTTATACATAGATACATAGCAACTCACCAATCTTCAAGACAATGCAATGCTGGTGATTCTCTTCTTACTTAAGCATAAAACTTGGCAAATTTGGTTAAACAAGGTTGTTCTAACTATTTATCCTTGGCTATCTGACTAAACCAGCTGTTCCTGTCTTTTAGCTTTATTAATCAAAAGTGTTGTTAATCCCCAAAACTTACCCATTTTTATCGTCAAGGCGAGGTCAGACACCGAAATGCAAAAATCAGCTTTTAAACCAGATTTGACCAGTTCTGGAGTTTCTGTGCTTTGAATTTTAAGTCAGCTGAGACCAGAGTTGTTGTGGGCTGCGATTTATGAATATTTGGATATTTGCTTGATAATTAAACTCAAATAGTTGTTTGACTTATACATGACCTGAAAAATGTATATTTCTTCATTTGTTTTCTTTGGCTTCTAGTTGTAACCTAGTCTAACCCTGATGCTGTGGCGGTGGGACATCTGAAAACTTTATGCAAACTGCCAAAAAAAAAAACTGAAAAGAAAAAAGGACAGAAAACACAAGTGCTGTCTGCCAGTGAAACAGGTGCAGGGCTGGAAGACTTAAAGTTGGAGAATATACAGAGACTTCTGCAGCCACCAAAGAGCTCTGTGTTGTACTTCTTTGGGAAAATAAACTCAGATGAGCTGAAGTGCAAACTTTGACCAGTAAAACTAGCACAGCACTCTGCACAGTCCTGGGTCTCCATCTCTCCTTATGTCTGCATGTGGACTCTTGTGGGGACCGTTGAAGTAGTTCTTGCAGGACCCTCTGATGAATGAATAGTATTTTTGCTTGAAATTCCCTTTTTTTATGAAGATGCTAATAAACCATCAAACATTATTGTTAGTAAGAGTAATGAAAATGGTCTGTTTGTTTTCCTCTGCCTGATTTTCCATCTGTTTTTTCATCTCCTCCTCAGGATAATGCGAGTGGAGCCAAAGGTTGTGCTGAATGTGGCTCACACAGTCGTGAGGAGAATGTCGTCTTTCGTGAGACAGATTGACTTTGCTCTTGACTGGATGGCTGTGGAAGCTGGTAGAGCGGTCTACAGGTATACTTATTACCTTTTATGTGTTGAAAAAATGATCCCCTGAAATGACTGTATTCCTGTCAACAAATACATTTGTTCCGCGGCCGCAGGCATTTCTGCGTATTTGCAGTGGATTGAAGTTATATGTTTCTTTTCCAGGCAGGGAGAGAAATCTGACAGTACTTTCATAGTGCTGAGTGGTCGACTGCGATCTGTCATCCTGAAGGAGGATGGTAAGAAGGAGCTGATAGGAGAGTACGGACGTGGAGACCTGATTGGAGTGGTAAGGGCTGTGATGGTGAGGGGGGGAGACAGATGGAGGAGAGTAGGCGAAAAACTATGACTAACTACTATGTTTGAGCCATGTTGAGATTTTTTCACTTTTAGAGTCCTCATAAATATTAATGATGTTGTATCGGGATAAGTAGTTCTGAGCCAAACTTGCAGAATGAATATGCATGAGCAAGAGAGTTCATTTCATTCACAGCAGTTCATTATCACATACAGAAGTATTAATCACATCCAAGTAAGTAAGAACTGATCATGAAACACTTTCAGCTCTTCATATGCAGGACCATAAGACTACTGTCACTGCCAACACATAAAAACTCAACCAACTGCATCCTGTGAATATTTACAAGGAGAAGTAACTTCAATCTAGATGCAGTTAAACGATGAAACAGGATTAGACTTAAAGGGATATCCCGCTGTAAATTTAAGTTAGGGTCAAACACACCGTAACACCAAGAGATGAATGTTGCCAGCCGCTTGCTTCTCTAGTTACACCGACCTTAGTAATGACCGCAGCAGTCTACATCTCCATGCGCAACCTTCAGGTAATCGACTCGTTAGGGCTCGTGTGGAGACATAGACCACTGTGTATTGCTATCGTGTGGTCGTTGGTAAAGTTGGTATAACTAGAGAAGCAAGCGGTCGGCAACATTCATCTCTTGAGGGGGTGTCTAACTCAGTGTTACAGTGTTTTTGACCCTAACTTAAATTTATACCGGAATATCCCTTTAATCATCACTGCTCTTTAGGTAGAATCAGTTCATGTAGTCTGCAAAGTAAACCCAGAATAAACATTTTGCAGTTTTTCTCATCTGTTTTTTTTTTTTATATATATGTATAAATTGGAAGAATTGTATTTATCACCTGCTAACATATTCAGCACTTATTTACCAAGAATACAAAACTCATGAACAGTTTCCCAAAGTTGACAGGCCTGTCTAAAAATGGAAAAACATCACCAACACTGTTTGTAATCCAATTTCACTAAACAGCGAAGAGCTAATTCACTTTGTAACATTTAACCCACCTCCCTGCTGGCCAATCCAGCTCATCTTTGCCCAGATGCTTCTAATAATACCTGGCTTGATGGATGCTATGGTTACTGTTACCTGCAGGAGGGAAGCAGTCTAGCAGCTTCTGTGATGGAGAGAATGAGATTGTAATTGTTGAAGTTCAGAGTCAAATTTAGCACAGATGTGTTGACGTCACTTCAGGATCTTGAGATAAAGAGATCTTATTTATAGTTCCTCTCACCTATGGCTCATATTGACTCTGAGGAATACAGCCCTCTTAAGCAGATTATATGCAGGTCCACGACACCTTTCTTTTCAAAGTGTCTTTATCTTTCAGTGAGAATTAATTCAGTGATGCATTACATTTTATGATGTGGGAGGAAGGCAGATGTATGCTGGTCACCACACTTAGTAGGTCTCATGTGTTTTACATGAGATCAAACTGTTGTAAAACTTCGGTCAGCAGCCAAGGCTTTAATTTGTTTCTATGCATGAACCCCCCCTCCTTAGTTTTGGACAGGTGTTAAAAGGAAGCAGGCTTTTACTTAATTAAAAAAAAAAAGCTTTAGGTCTGCGACATAACATTTATGTCGCCATTTTGGCTTCTATTCTCATCTTTAAATCCAGTACAAGCAATAAAGATTCACTGGAGCACACATTTCTTCAGCCGTCTTCCTGATCAGCTTGTGGCAGACTGTAACACCGATCAATGAGGGGTGATCGCTCACCCTTCTCCACCCACCACTCTGCAGTTAGCTCTGTTCCTGCCTCCTCAGACAGAAGCTGAAGTTTAGTTTTATGTTTCCTGTCATTCGTTTAATACTTTAATACCTGAAAAGTGTCTTCCTGATACTTTTATTGGACGAACTTGACACCCTGACAGCACTCAGGTTCCCAGTTTTCTCTGTGCTGCTATGGTGATCAGTAAATGTGACATGTTGCATTTCAGAGAAAGTATAAGAAACAACTGATGAATAAAGCCTTCTACCTGAGACCTGGCTGTATTGCAGGGTATCCACCGAGTCTTAAAAAGGCTTAAAACATCTAAAATCCAATAATTTAAATTAAAGGTCTTAAAATGTCTTAAATTCTCTTAAAATCTTATAAAATGTCTTGAAAGGTCTTAAAAATATATTAACTGAACTTAGGAAAAAATAACGTGCCATACGAAGAAAGATTGACTCAAAGGAAAGTTCATTGTTCTGCTTTCCTTCCATGTCTTTTGTACTTTTTTTCCAGTTTGGATGTAGAATGGGTCTTAAATTGTTTTCATTATGGTCTTTAAAAAGTCTTAAAAAGTCCTGAATTTGACTTGTTGAAACCTGCAGAGACCCTGTACTGGTTAAAACACGCAGCAACACCATACTAAGAAAGATGTCCGGAAATGTAAGAACTAGTTTGATGAATTTCCTTTAGCCGCTGTGAAGCTCTTTCTTTGCTTTATGATTTTCTCCTCCTTATCTTACTGGGTCATAATCTGTTTAAAGCAGGAGTGACTACCCTTGAACCATTATACAGACAGTTTTCTTTTTGTTGCAGATATGTGCCAGTGGTATAGATTAGTCAGGCACCACCACAACGTTAATCACTCTGCAGGAACAATGCTCAGGGGACCAGAGATGACTGTTCAGATCAGTTTAAGAGAACTGCTCTTCCTCATTTCTGCATTTTAAGTTAACCGAATTCTGACCAGTATCAGAAACTGCACAAGCTCCAGAGCTTTAAAACAAAACTGAAATCATGACGGTGGGCAAACCAGTCCTGTGGACACTAAATTAACCATTGCATTAAACTACATCATGTGTCTGTGATTTCTTTGCAGGTGGAGGCCCTGACCCATCAGAACAGAGCTACTACAGTGCATGCTGTACGAGACTCAGAGCTGGCAAAGTTACCAGAGGGAGCTCTCAGCTCTATCAAGAGGAAGTTCCCACAGGTATCCTCAACTAACTGTGATTTTTCTGTGTATTGGGCGTAAAGGTCAACTATAAAAATAAAATAAGCCTTGGAGTAATCTCTTGATTGCCTGTTCTCAGGTTGTTACCAGGTTGATCCACTTGTTAGGACAGAAGATCCTCCAGCAGGTTAATGGTCCTCTGACAGGTATGTGAATCTACATAAGCATATGCTGTTACCCACTGGAGCACAGGGTTATTCAACTAGTGTGGGTGTTGATGCCAGTTTACTGTTAAGTGAAAGGTTTATTAATATTTATATGTTCCCCAGCTCGCAGCTTGGCTCTCCACACCCCAGGCAGCAAGTGGGATGCAGGGAACCAAGCCTCCAACCTCTCCACTGTAGCAGTCCTGCCTGTCTCTGAAGAGGTTCCTCTCACCGCCTTCACCCTTGAGCTGCAGCATGCACTCATCGCAATAGGTATGATAAAAAAAGATACTGCTGCAAGAGGCCAAGTGTGTCCTCTGGCAACCATCCTGGAAAAAAAAAAGATATATATCTGCATAATGTTTGCACAGACATAGACACAAATTAAGTGTTATACATTTTCTTATCCTGTTGTCCCTGTTGGTTACTAGTCTGATTCATCTTTTGCTATGCTTGAGCCACATACTGTTTATTGACATTAAACAAAACCTACACCCTTTGGCCCCGCCCCCTTTTTAGAGAGTCTGTGACAAAAAGTGGCCTTTATAATTGAGCAGTTAAACCGTTACTAAGGACATGAGGTGTCATGTCACCTGTGCTGTCATATTTACACGAGTCATACATGTGGGGGAGCCCTAACGAGTCGATCAGTGCAGCAGATCATTTCCATGAAGTAATAATCGTCATAATAATAATTTTGCACTGCAGACGCCGTAGTTCTTCTGCCTTAGCGTCTCCATGAAGTAATAATCATAAATGTTCTTCCTTGAGCTACAAAACTCCGCTGCATTTGGTGATCGACTCGTCAGGGCTTCCCCACAAACAAGCAGCTGCTGGAAGAGAGTGGGTGAGTTGTGTTTGGTCACTTTGCTAAAGAAATCAGGCAAAGCTAAAAAGATGTTTGGTGGCTAGTTCTATGGCTGGGACCCTATATGTACTGTTGATGAAGTTCGCTGCTGTTCTGAGCATTATTTGTGGCTATAGAGTGGCGTTTTGGTTGAGGTTTGCGCATGGAGACGTAGACTGCTGTGTATTACTATCGTGCTGTCGTTACTAAAGTTGGTAAAACTAGAGAAGCAAGCAGTCGGCAACATTCACCTCCGGACAGGGTGTCTAACTCGGTGTTACGGTGTGTTTGACCCTAATTTAAATTTACACCGGAATATCCCTTTAAAGGTTGAAATTATTTTTGTTGTTTTTCTTACCATCCTATGTTTACATTTGAGCCCCTCCATTTCGAGGGCTTTTTGGAGGACTTTATGATCTTTTCTAGGCAAAGTGTGATCACACTTAGCTCCACACAAGCACACAGACAGAAAGGTCAATGGGGAAGGTTTGGTGGGAGAATCAGGATCAAGTCATTAATGTACTCTTTCACAAACAGGTCCCACCCTGCTACTGACCAGTGACATCATCAAACAGCGACTTGGAGCTGCAGCACTGGACAGGTAAATGTAGCAGCAGACTGAGAATTTATAGGACTATGACCCCTCCATTCTCCCTGAGAGCCACTTGCTGCTGGTTGGTTTATTTCTCTGTTCTTCTTTCGATCTCTCTTACTCACTTATTATATTCAGTTCAAGTACGCTGTCTTGGCACAGCAGGGAAAATGGATCCTCAGTGTGCTGCCAGCAAGGCAATACATCCTGTTACTAATAGACTCCTCTTTCTCTTCAGTGTGCATGAGTACCGTCTGTCCAGCTGGCTGGGCCAACAGGAAGACATCCATCGCATTGTTCTTTACCAGACTGACTATACTCTGACCCCGTGGACACAGCGCTGCATCCGCCAGGCTGATTGCATCATCATAGTAGGACTTGGAGAGCAGGATCCTGCTGTTGGGGAGGTGAGGATTAAGGTTGGGGAGAATCAGAGGCAAAGGTAGCCAGGAATCCAGTTTTTGTTTGATAAGTTGGTGTCCTTTATCTTGTTGTTTTTATGCTCAAGAAAAACACCCAGCATTGGTAAAAAATGAAATAAACACTTAGATCAGTATGATGAGAGTGAACCATCATGTAAGATTATTTTATAGTTTGACCCATGTTTCTCCTATGAGGGGGAGGGCTTTATTGCAGCATGTTAGCAAAGAACATAAAACTGCAAACTCTTTATTATTTTAAGTCCTTTACCTTCCGGCTCGCAAACTGAAATTCAAACTTTGCTTTTTAATTTTGATTTTATTGTCTAAGCTCTGCTCTGAGGGTAATATCTCATCTGGGTATACAGCTGGTAATTACTTTACTATTTTTACTTTACTGATGAAAAACTGTGGTAATGCATGTAGCAGGTAACACACAGTGACATTCAAGAGCTTGTTTGACTCAAACAGCTGCTTGTTATAGAAATCCCAAGAAAGACCAAAACCAACAATTCATTTGGGTTTCCTCTAAGCAGCTGCGTCTCTGGCTCTCAGCCCACTGATCTCCTTTGAGGAGTTTAATCCTTAACACACATTTTTCTCTAAAGACCTTGTACACCTATAGTTCCCCTATAATGGCATTTCCATTACCGCTCAGACCGCCTCTCAGGACCAGATGAGAAACTGATCACCCTCACCTCTCTGTTGCTTGTATTGTATCTATTAGGAGGATAAATTAGTTATTCCTATTTTGTACGAAGCTTGGCGACATCATGCCTCCATGACCCAGCATCTAATGTTATTTCTCTGGTTAAAACAGAGTCACGCTGTAGTGTAGAGCCAGTGTAAACAGATTTACTTGTTTGTTTTTTAGTGGTGGAATTTTTGAGCCACTGAGTATTGACTGCAGCGGGGTGCTGTATGCTGGATGGACTCAATATAAACTACAGATTCCATGTTTATTGGAAAGAAGGAACATGTCACCTGCAGCGACAGTGTGATTTATTGATTTGTTGTATGTTCACAGAGGGAAGAAAGCTATCACCCTATGAGACTGGGTCAGATCAACCCTTGCAGATTTTACTCTCCGGAGAAATGATCACATTAGTTATTGTTAATTATATATATATATCTATACCTCTATGTCTCAGCTATTAAGTTGTGATCTTGGACTGATTTAATTTGAGGTCAGTGCTGATCATTATTTTCTTAAATCAGCTTTTTTTCAAAGGGTTAGACGGAGTCAGCGGTCACAGGCTGTGAAAAGCTTGTGTTTGACCCCTGAGTGTATCGGAGAACTCAGGAAAGGGTGAATGGATGTGTGAAAGGGCTGAGGGGGAAAAAATAAAGGTGCATGTCCAGCTGATGAAGGAAAGGTAATTGCCTTCAAAGGGAAAAAAAATGGGCGTAGAGAAAAGTAAGGAATGTACCCTCGTTTAACAGGAGATGGTGGGAGAAATGGATCAATATTTGCTCAAGCCCAGAATGAGTCATAGCTCTGAGTTGATTTTATCTTTCAGGTGCACCCTTTCACCTTGTACACACTAAACCTTTTACAGAGGGCCTGTTGACTGGGTGGCACATCTGACCTTCCTCTCAGACTATTTAGCCCCTCTCTTTTTTCTCTTAAACTACTTGCTCTACCTTGCACTTGAAAATGTGAATGAAATAATTGAACGTGTAATTAATCTTTTTTATTACCTTGCTATTTTGCTGAGCCCATTATCTTCAATTCTCAAAGTTTGGTGGTGAACCTTATTCGTGGAGCGCGCCTCACAACATGAGGAAGCAGCATCTGCCTCACAACCAATCAGGTCGGGGGAGGCGGAGAACGGCTTTGTTTCCAGTCAGAATGAGCGGGCTGCTAAAAAATGTTAAAATGTTGACTACACAGGCATAAGAGAACACACCTATATTGTTATATTCCCAAATGTCATCAATGACTAATATCTATTGATTGATATTAAAAGCTTTTTTGTTTATACACCACAAAAAAAAGATGCTTCTTTAACAGAATCCTGTCTTCCCCACCTTTTAATGAGACGACAAATAATTGCACTCACATCCCTTCACAAGTTGTGTTACCATGCTCACACAAACCCAGAGCAGTCAAAAGTTTGCAGCATTTTCTGGGCTACCGCTCAAAATTCTGTCCAAGTAGCGCACCACGGTCGATCTGATAAAAGTGAGGAGTGTCAAATTCTCTGAAACATCTGTGCTCCATGTCTTTCCTGTAGCTGGAGCGTATGTTAGAGGCAAGTGCAGTGCGGGCCCAGAAGCAGCTGGTGTTGTTGCACAGAGAAGACGCCCCCCCACCCAAAGGAACCGTAGACTGGCTCAACATGAGAAGCTGGATCTCCAGACACCTCCATCTCTCTTGTCCCCGTAGGGTCTTCTCTAAGAGAAGCCTTCCCAAACTGGTGAGAGTAAAAGACATGGTCTTTAGTTTTTGTTTCTTCCTTATTTCTCATCTGGAGGTTTAAATGTCTCTTTTTTTCCCCCTAAATTGTTACCAACCTGAAAATGTTAAAATCAACTTTTAAATTTGTCTTTTTAAGTCAACATCAGCGTGTCTGTCCTCCCTCTGGTTATCTCACACCTCTCTTCTCCCATTAGAGTAATCTTCTGATATTTTTCAGCTTGAGCTGTATCAACGTGTGTTTGAGAAGCCAGCAGACAGACACTCAGACTTCTCCCGCCTGGCTCGAGTCCTTACAGGAAATGCCATTGCCCTTATCCTGGGGGGAGGAGGAGCCAGGTAAGTGTCTATATCTAGGGTTTATTTGTTTTTTTTTTTTTGGTTGAGTAGTTCAACACCTCTCTGCAGTTCTATATTCATTCTCCACACCTCCTCTCAGGGGCTGTTCCCAGGTGGGGATTATGCGAGCTCTGTGCGAGGCTGGCATCCCAGTGGACCTCATTGGTGGCACCTCCATCGGTTCCCTAATGGGGGCGCTTTACGCTGAGGACCGTAGCCACAGCCGCATGAGGATGAGAGCTCGAGAATGGGCGATGGTGAGAGTGGGAGACACACCGGTCATATTGTTAAACAAGATATAAGACTGACTGATATATTGATCTGCTTATGAACCACAAGAAATTAAGACCAAGTCCCACATCTAATGATAATGTTTTTTTTTTATGTGAGCATTTTTTTTATATATTAGATAGGGGACTTGAAAAAGCTGCCTCGAAACGCATGTATATGGAGAAAGATAAGAATCAGTGTTCTGTATCTTGATTTAAAACAGCGACACTCTGCAGAGTAAGGCCAATTGGCCAGCAGGAGAATTCCCTCCTTCTGTTTTTATACCTTTGTTGAATCTTCTGTAGCTTTTTGATGTATTTTTGACCTTTATCAAACATATGCAGCATGTAAAGTAACGTCCTCTGACTGTTAAAATAACGCTTTAAGTTCATCTGCATGCCTTCCTTTCCCCACTGTGACTCTCGCAAAGAGGATTTTTCTTCAGATTCTGTCTGTCTGCTTGTGGGTCCGTCCTTGTGAAGGTGATTCTTTCAAATAGCACGTTTTTGAAATCCTAATGCACCTCGGCCCCGGATTCTTCCTTTGATACAATTAAACCCACTGTGCTGATAAACCATCAAAAGTTAGGGGTTGATGTCGCACATGTAGCTCTTGATGATTTTCTCTTTAACTCCATGAGCAGAAATATTAGCAGTTGAAATATCACATTAATACTTATGTTTTTGATTCTGAAGTTATCCATGACGGCTAATTTGAGACACCTGCTCAGTGTCCCGACGTGCTGGCTGAGCATGTGGCACCATTTGTCTTCCTGCAGGATTTCCAGCCTTTCCTCGTCTGGCTCTGTCCTTGGTCCTGAAAGTTTGATTTAGAAGCAGCTGGCTGGGTTGCTGCTCCTCCGTGTTGGATTAAAACAACAGCAGTTGCAATGAAAATTTTGTCTTTTGCAAATCAGGCAGACTGTCCAAATGTAAGCGCTTTTGTATGTGAGAGTGATTCTTCAAATTAGCGAGTAAAGCTTGTGTACACACCAGGAGGGAAGAAAAACAAGCTCAAAGAACCTTCATGCACTGCACTTGCAAATTGGATTAATCCGAATCTTTCACCCCAGATGTACTCTGGGTTAGTTTAACAGAATGAATCTTCTTTGTTATAGAGAGAGAAGAAACATTCTGACCTCTTTGCCTTCTTACTCTCCCTCCTGTAGGAAATGACATCCGTGTTCAAGAAGGTTCTGGATTTGACATACCCGGTCACCTCCATGTTTTCAGGCGCTTCTTTCAATTCCAGCATCAGCAACGTCTTCAAGAGCAAACAGATTGAGGTGAGTGAGAGTGACACGAGGAAAGAGAGCGTGGAAAATAAACCTTCATCAGGTAAACATCCAGAAATGATGCAGAGCCCATTATGTTGATCTGTTTTGATGTAACCTTTTTGTGCATGCAGGACCTCTGGATCCCTTATTTCAATATTACAACTGACATCACCGCCTCGGCCATGAGGGTACACACTGATGGTAGGAACAGTTTTCTGAAATGAGTCTGTTTTTCTGTGCTCTTGGAATCAGTTCACACCAATGACAAAGATTTTATGTCACCTCTGTCCTCATGGGTGACAGACTTTAAGTAGGATTTCCGAGGGGTTTGATTTCCTGTCACTCGTTTTATTTTCACACCAATATCTGGATGTTTTTTTTCTTCTTCTTCTTGAGATCGCTCTTAAGAGAAGTCTGAGATGGATTCCTGAATCTGTTTTTGAACCACAACAGTAGATAAACCTTTACTGTCCTTTTGTAAGGAAATTAGAGTCTGCTGTTTGTACTGAGTGTACATACATAGAAAATGATGAAAACAAAGCGTCCATTTCATCTGTACCTGAAATTATTCAATACAATTCCCACAAACACACCACTCATTTCAGGGCCAAGATTCACTTTGTATATGACAGGACTAGGGATGCACCGATCTGATATTTGGATCGAATATTGGCTCTGATATTGACAAATGAACTGACGCCATGGCGCCAATCTAGCTTTCTAATCCAGTCTTTCTATTCTTTTAATTAATATCACACACAGCGACACAGCGATTCTGTTCACTCTATATTCTATGTCTGTCTATCCTTTTGCACCAAATGTTTACAAGGAAGTCTTACTTCTTTTTGCTGTTTGCTACGTAAATTTATATCTGTGTTAATTTGCCTGATGCCTTCACTCACAGGGCAAGATATACAGTTCATTTATTCAACAGCAGTATTGGATCGGTATCGGATATTGGCTGATACGCTCAGCCCAGGTATTGGTATCAGATTGGATCGGAAAAAAATGGATCGGTGCATCTCTAGACAGGACCACCTTCAACGGTCTTCTTTAGTTTGGTTGGTGTCGCTCTCACTCAGCTCTTTGTGCCGCTGTGTTCTTTGATTTTTGTTAGATTCAAGGTTAATTGTCTTTGTTCGGAGAGGACAGGGGAGAGAGCAGGCAGTGACGTGGCAAAAGAGCCCCAGGCTGGAAGTGAACCAGGGCTGACCCCTGAGGTGTGACCTTTGCACATGGGGTGCCACATAGACTGCTAAGCCAGTAGTGCCCTGTATCCCTGTGTTTTATTTCCCCTAGATAACATCTGTTTTACCACCTCTAATGTTCTTTTCTCTGCTGGTAACTGGTTAGCCATCCATCACTTATAAACTATGGACGCTTTAGCAAACATGAAAATTCTCTGTCTGCTGTTCAAGGCTCTCTGTGGCGTTACGTTCGTGCCAGCATGTCTCTGTCTGGATACCTGCCTCCTCTCTGCGACCCCAAAGATGGACACCTGCTGATGGATGGAGGCTACATCAACAACCTGCCAGGTTTCTTACACTCTGGCCTCTGAATTCTCTCTCCTCTTGATTGTGTCATTTTCGCCCCCTTCTGTAGCATTATTGCTCTAAGTTATCGTCTCCTCCTGTCCCACCTTCTCTCTGTTACTGCTTCACCTCACAGCTGATGTGGCTCGCTCCATGGGGGCTAAAGTGGTGATAGCTATCGATGTGGGCAGCCGGGATGAAACCAACCTCACTAATTATGGCGACTCGCTCTCTGGCTGGTGGCTGCTATGGAAACGCCTCAACCCCCTGGCTGAGAAAGTAAAGGTAATGGATTGATTAAAATTGAAGGCACAACAGTGGATGTGCTGGGATGTGTAAAAGTAAATAAGTCCTATGAATAAGAATGAGGATATTTCTGGAGGCGTGTATTTAAAGAGATGCATATGTTCATTTTGGTCCTTTCTTGTTTCACACGTGATCCGAGGTGTTGAACATGGCAGAGATTCAGACTCGGCTGGCTTACGTGTGCTGTGTTAGGCAGCTGGAGTCAGTGAAGAGCAGCGACTACTGCGAGTACATCAGACCTCCTATCGACAGATACAGGACTCTGGAGTTTGGAAAGTTTGATGAGATTGCTGTAAGTATGAGAGAGTTCTGCCTCTCTGTATCTCAACTCTTGAACTCACTCTGACATCACAAATGGTGATTTATGTAAAAAAAAAATGACAATAACTCCCAGAATTGGCTCAGAGTAGGGCTGCACGATTAATCGATTTTAAATGGTAATTGGATTATTTGATTATGAGGATGTAAAAAAAATTAAAATCACTAAATTGATTTTCCTCTCTATCATGTCTCGTGCCTCCAGGCCACTGTAGGCTCCCCCGTCCTGTGACAGCGCTCCCCAGTTCCCACACACACTAGTGTAAACAAACATGGGGTTTGCAAAAGAAGGTGTCAGTTTCATTGCTAAAAGGGGCGAGAGAAAGTCAATCGAGTGAAATCGGTACGACTTCACATATTCAGACAAAGAGCAAACCACTCCCCGCTGCAAAGTCTGTCTGAAGGCGGTATCAATCCGTTCACATGTCCCCGTCCTAAAACGAATTCAGGAGTAAACACAAAAGTCTTTTGTTGTACCAGCGTTTCATCCACACGAAACAGCGTTTAACTCTAAACGGTACTTTTTGAAAACTGGTATGACAGTGCGTATATCTGCAAACGACGACCATTTCATCTTTTCTTCTGTCTTTGTGCATTTCCTTTGCACCGTTACAGCGCCACTTACTGGCTTGGTATATACACTACATTGTTTTCAGTGGTTTTGTTTTAAGAGATGATAGAATTTTTGCTATTATTTTTTTAAGTGAAGAGTCTTTCTGGCAAGTGAAAATCGAGTTTTCAGAGAAATAAATCAGGATTTTATTTTTGGCCAAGATTGTGCAGCCCTAGCTCAGAGTTCAATTTTCTTGTGTATCCTTTATTTGAAATATTTTATAAGGGCATTTGTGTTTGTGCAACACAGGAGGTGGGATACCAGCATGGGAAAACAGTGTTTGATGTGTGGATTCGTAGTGGAGTCGTGGAGAAAATGATGATAGACAGACACCAGGAGGAGTTCCATAACACCCAAAGCAAGAACAATGTAAGTATGGAGGGTAGAAAGGACATGAAGTAACACTGTGGAGCTTAAGTCAATGTCACAAGACACAGTTGAGTTTTAATGTAACTTAATGTTGATAAATAAGCTCACAGACACATTATCTCAATAAGTGTTTGGCATTTTTGCAAATTAAGTGTTACTCGAACAAAATACATGATTTAAATAAATCCTTTCTCAAGATGAGTGAAAAGCATGCTGATAAAAATTGTAGTGAATCACAACACATCCTGTCGGCAGCAGATGTAAGATCCTAACTAATAATGTGACTCATAGTAACAAAGTTCTAAACATCGTCAGCTACTCTTTGCAGTCAATTATGGGAAGATTGTGCAAACATATGAAGTCATTAGCAATTCAGATTACTGACAACACACATAATTTGTTGTTGGGATCAGCCTGAGGTTAAAAATCTGTTTTTTTTTTTTCAACAAATGAAGAGAGGAGATTAAGTCCAAGCTACTCAAGATATCCAGAAACACGCCCTCTAGAGGTTCTGACAGATTCTCCTCTCATTTGTATTCCTTGTTTGTCTGGTAGACCACATCTGTGTTTTGTTATGTTGTTTTTTATTCACCCTCATTCTTATTGCTTTGTCAGTGTAACCTTATAATTGAGGCCTAGCTTGTAAAGTTGAACTGTTTAACTATTCATCAGACTGTGTTTAGAGTACAGAGAGACGTATTTATTCTAGACCAAATTTGTCTCTAACGATGTTCAGAAAGACTCAACAAGAGAAGAGAGAAAGATCAAGACAGGTTAGAGGTTTAGCCTCTGAATAAGGAGCATCATAAGAGGAGTGGAGGGGAAACTAGCATGGTTGGTGTTGTGAAGAAACTTTGATTTGATCTTGCTTATATGGATGTACTTCTAAATTAAACCTACTGCAGTAGTCGCCACATGCTGGCTGGTCACTGAGTTTTCTTCATCTGCGTCTACTTCCTCTTTATCTACCTTCTGTTTATGGCAGGTGGCAACCAAAGTAAAGAGCCATTACCGCCCCCTGCTATGAACCAATTAGTTGCACCGTATACGGGTGCTTATTTCCAGCACATTATCAACGTTTCATTTTATTTTTTATAAGACCATCATTGCCAGTTCTAAATATATATATATATATATATATATATATATATATATATATATATACACATAAACAGCTCCAGTTTTTAGGATAGAGTCAAAGCAACAAACAAACAAATACACAAGAACAAATCTGGAGTGAAAGAACAATGGCGCTACAGTCTTCGTTTTAGGATCAGCGCAATAAAAAGGTCCAATTTCCTTTTTTTATTTTTTACGGAAACCATCCCACATGGGCAGCTAATGAGTTTTCTTTCTATTTCAGTCTCCTCTGTTGGGTACAACTCCTAGGAGAAAAAATACTTCTCCCCGTGTGACATGAACTAAATACAGTAGAGTGCTGAGTGGGACTGAACAAAAGGACGGAACTGGGAACTAAAATTTGAAAGCGGAAGTGTTTATAAAAGTCGTTTTGATTTAGATCATGGATAAGTGGAAAAATAATCTCTAGACTTTAATCATATCAACGTCTTAGTTGTCACCAGGCGTATGACGGCAGGCAAAGTGTTGACACCAGCAGCTGTCGTAGTTAAATCACAAATTAGTTATCCAACACTCAGGAAGTGAAAATGGCTCCGGCTCCTGTCTATCCTTCTTCTCTTGATAAACAGAAATATGTTGGTGTATGATGTGTTTCAGGTGGTGACGTGTCCCAATGCTTCCTTCACTGACCTGGCAGAGATTGTGTCCCGCATTGAGCCCGTCAAACCAGCTGTGGTGGATGGTAAAATAACCAACACACTGACTCAACCACACTCATTACAATGTAGAAACTGTGTGTCAGAGAAAAGGGGGGCTTTTTCTCCTCTGAATTATCATTTGTGTTTCCAGCGCTTGCTCTGTTATGTTTTCTTCCTGCAGTAAAACTGTTTCATATGGAGGAAAAACAGACTCTGAATTTGAATCTTAGAATTTACACGAGGATCCAGCAGGTTTTGGCATGCTGATAGAAACAACTTTGAGAGAAAGCAGGGTCTGTGCAAATGTCGGATCTTTTATCCAAAACAAAATTTAACATTTCTGAAATCCACGTGAGAGGTGCAATTTGGTTTCCTCGGGATATCTTCCTTCCTCTTCTTCTATTTATAACCTCTTTGTCATCCATCGCTCACCAAACTGCCCAGTTTGCCTTCTCACAGTGGTGCACATTCTTGCTTTTCTGACTCACGCACCTGCACACCCACTTTGTTTTGTCACCTCTTCGACACACCACATATTCCAACTTATTCACCCACAATGTGCTTCTCTGCTTCCTGTCCTCCACCCCTTCCCTCCATCAGACGAGTCAGACTACCACACTGACTATGAGGAGGAGGCACTGGAGAGCGCTCTGTCTGACATGGAGCAATACAATCAATGCCAGGAAGAGCACACAGAAGGGGAGGAGACCGCTGACACGGTGCGAAACACTGGTGATAATGCTGGGCGCTGAAGGGTTCCATCTGTTAAGTACAGCACTTAAATGTTACTCTGGAGAAAGACAAAAGTGTGCCGTTGGCCATTGTTCAGAATTGATTAGAGTTCACTCTGGAGAGTGGCCAATGCGCTGCAAGGGCATCTAATTAAACAATATGTTCAAGTTAAGAGAGCTCAGGCTGAAGGATGGTGAAGGTATGTATCTATAGACTGTATGAGATAATGATACAACAAGACAATACAAGAACATCTATGCAGATGTTGGTGTCCCGGAAATAAAGCCAAATTATTTGGATCTCCTTATAGACTGACTTAAGCGAAGGTTATAAAGTCTGCTTCATCTATTTGAACAGATGGGACACAGGTTACTTTCGCAAATCTAAATTATTTCACAAACTTAGCCTCTGTCTTTATTATATTACCAACATAGACTGTATGTAGAATGGACGCTGCCTGCCTCCTTGCTGGGTGAAGCCACCACGAAAACAGCTCCCTCTGGTGACGGGCTGCAGTATAGGTCATAAATCCCACCTCCTTATGGAGCTGTGGACAAGCTTTAGAAATTAATTACACAGAATAAAAAAATTTTCCCACCTACTTGTGATATTGACATGTAATTACTGTAAGACTGGTTTGTTCTCAAGTCCTCTTTTTTCTGTACAGCTCCATTTTTAAAAGTTATTAGGGGGTTCATGTTGTCTATGATTGACACTTGATACAGCCTATGGGCGTAAGAAGATTGCGTAACTCACTTGGGGAATACACTGTTTGAGCCGAGCGTTATCACAGCGACTCTCCTGCTGAATGCTACTGCGCAAGTGGTGGCTCCAGGAAGTGGAGAAAATCCCAGAAATACCGAGAGCAACTCGGCTTCAAGTTTGTATAATGACGGAAGGCGGAGCCAAGTTGTCCATACTGTATATACAGTCTATGATTAACTTTTGTACATTATTCAATTTTCTGAGAAAATTAGTTTGGCTGCATAATCGACAACTGCTGAGTGTGTCAGGTTAGCAGAATAGATGATAAACTGGACGAACCATCGAAGCTGATCCTGAGTGTCTGTGAACTCAAACAGCTTGAGCACAGATCGGTTTGATCTTCACTGTTATGACAGTAAGTTAAATGTGTAATAGGTGTGATATGTCAATAGTGTGTTAACTTTACGCCGATATTCTGTATGTACACTGGGTCTTTCTGGCTAAATAACTGTTGATAGATAAGCCTAACAAGCTTTGTGGATACTGAGTTAAAATACTGAGTGTGTCAGCTCGATTAACAGAAAAACTACGTTAGCCTGTTTAAAGTGGAATTTATTCAAACAAGTTTCTCCTACTTAATCCATCAGCTGATAATGCACATCTGTTACTAGCGCTACAGACACAGAGTAAAGAGATAATTAGTGAGAATGGATCGGAGGTGTCCGGCTCAGGCCATTAAAGAAAGGATTAGAGAAAAGCCTTTTTTGAGCAGCACAGTTTCAGCCTGTTACCTCACAGATCTATGGAGGAGGAGGAGGAGAAGCAGTTTAAGTCAGATCAGGGTTGAGATTGTCTAAGAGTTCACAGTTTTTATGTCAGTTTTCATACAGTGCGCACACATTTTAATATGTAGGAAATATAGTAGAGACATGACTGCTGAGAATCAATCTTATCGATCTCTCCTTTCTTATACATTACCTTGTTTCTGATTCTCAGGATGAGGAGCTGGAAGAAAGACGTGAACGCCACATTACCTCTCTCACCAGCAGCCACTCTCATTCCTCCACCATCTCCAGCAGTCCACCGCACATGCCGTCAAAACAGCAAGTCCTCTCTAAACAGTCCATTAAGTGAAGGGCAGCCTGATGAACCCTACCCCAACAGGTCATCGCTATTTATCCTACCTGTCTCTCCACTCTCCAGTCCGTCCCACATGACTCCAAACCTGTCCCCTGACAGCATGACTGATTAGCATTTAGCCCTCTGTAACCTAGCCTCTAGCTGTGTGACTGACATATCAACATACAGTCCCCCAAAAATACACTCAGAGCGCGCCCATTTGCAAGTCCGTATGCATTCCTCTAATCCAGCAGCAGCTGCAATCATTTCTCATATTGAGACAGCCAAATTACCGTCTGCTTTACATAAATCACAACAGTACAGTGAAAGATAAAAGGAATCAAAGGTGAGTAGATATTATTTCCATGAAATATTGTTACATCAACCAAGTTTTGAATAATAACTTTCCATGTATTAGGATAAAAAGCAGGATTTAGGTGTTTTTTTAGGTGTTAGATAGTCAAAGAGTATCTGTAGATAACTTTATCTCACACTGAACTGCTGTCTAGACATACAAACAGTTCTGATTTATCTGCTTCTGTGATTTCTGCCAAACATGAAAACTGCCGCCTTGCTCAAGGGATGGAAAGAAAAATCACCTTCTGCCTTTTTGGCGAACTTTGCAGTTTTCATTTCAAATTTGGCGTTTTGCGCTGCTGCAATTAGATAAAAATCCTTCAAATAATAGAAGACTCCAAGGAAGCAAATTTACTCTTCAGGCGCTTTGCACACAAGTCCTTCCCACAAGAAGATTATGAATCTGCCAGGAGTAAGCATGACTGCTGTTGAAGGGTGATAGAAAAACACTATTATTCTATTATTAGTTCAACTGTTTATGAAAGTCTTGAAGTTAGTGGGATCATTTAAATGTCTGCCCTATTGTTCTGTTTGGGAGATAATATTCAGATTCTTAAAGTAGTTTTTCTACGGTGTTAGCTCTTTTTTGATTCCACATAAATCCTGGAAATTTCATAAATAATTAAAAATATATATATCTGCATGTAGAGACATTACTAGTGGGAAGTAAGATGGGCCCACTGGCTTTTTCAGGTATACCTGTGCAATGTTACTCGGTCCAATGCATCAGGGTTTGCAAATGTGTCTCTCCATACAAAAGTCAAACAGTGTTTGGTGGCGGGGTTAGTAATCTGTAAATTAGAAGAGATGTCTTTCTCTAACATCAAAGTCAGGAGCAGTATTATAATTCACTATATTGGATCAATAGGTTTGACAAATGCAGTCCACAGTTCTCTCACTGACCCGAGGAGGAGCCAGACTCTTTGGACTGGGGTGGTCAAACTTGAGGGGCTGCATTAGATATGTGTGAATGTACATTATGAATGGCATTTATTTACCTCCCCTGTCACCATTCATCACACCTGGACAACATTCCTGTGCACTTTTTGTTTTCATGGTAAAAAGTAACACTAGTGTCAGCATCTGAAATCTCTCAGCTTAAGCTCTTCCTGACTAAAGAAAAATGCCCCATCTTAAAATACTAATCATGGTAAATTAAAATGCAGAGAAAGCTGATGGGGATTTGTTACAATAACACCTTTATGGTTAATTTACATGAGCACCACCTCTGAGAACCCCATTCATTTTTAGCTTTCTGGGGTGGCCATCAGATTTTACAGTCGGGCATGGCCACCCCTCGCGATCCCCTGTATCTGCCCCTGACTCTGGTCCTTATGCAAACACATTACCTCTGTTAAAGCCTCTGTTACAGTAATAATGATCTTGGAAGTAGGCTCCCAGCACACAGAGGTTTATCTTTAGGACACAGTGTTTGCCACCTGATTTAAGCTAAAACCCTTGTTATGTAAAGGTGCAATCTAAAGCTTTTTGCTGGAAAAATATGGACCTGCCCTTTTAACATTTTCTCGAGTTTCTGTAATGATCCTCAGCAACCTTCACTCATTTAAAACCAGAAAGAATGAACTGAGCGGCTCACTGTATCGCTGCGGCTGTCAGCGCAGTTTTGTTGGACCCGGTGTGCCAGGGACATGGAGGGGAGCGATGAGTGCAATCCACTTCAAAGCTCGAGTTTCCCTCTCAGCTGGTGAGTCAGCCCCCCTCATCTGTTTTCTGGCTTGAATCTGTCAGACTCAGAAGGAGCAGCAGACAGAAAGGATCTGTTGGCCGAACCCTGAAGCTTCACTCGTCTCACTCCGGTTTGTACACAGGAGTTATTTGCAGCAGGAGGAGGGTAGTTTTCACAGGAACACGCTGTTACACGAGTAATTTGGCATGTCAGGATGTGATTTAGCTCCGTTAATTGAACTATTTGGAGTAAGTTTTCCCTTTCAGAACTCACTCAAAGTTAAGCTGTCTAGAAATGTTGCACACAGAATTTGCTGTTGTATTGACAAGAGACAAAAGCTTGACAATCAAACCAGATGTACAATGCACAGAAACAGTAGCTGACAAATCAGTTAATAGCCATCTCAGTTTAAAGGAGAGATCACTTATGTTTGGTCACAACTAACAATTAACTTCAAAACATCTAAGTGTAGTGATGATCTATGTTTTTTTCCTTTTAGGTGACAAAAATGTAGGGTCTATTTAATTCAGAAATAATGAAAAGTGGACACCTTTGTTTTTATAAACCATCCTTCTTGTCTAACCAACGGTCAAACTCCAAAGACTTTTTTAACTTTAGTGATTCCAGTTAAAACAACAAATTCTCACACTTCATATTTTGGTTATGGATCGCTCTAACAATTAAATTAGCTGGACCTCTATGTCAAAAATAAACATTTTTAACAGGATTTCTGTTTTGTAGTTTTGAAGTAAGATGTAATCCACTCCTCAGTTCTTGTCTTTTGGAACTAAATGATTTGTCATTAAACAGCCAGTGCTTCATAAGGTCAGTCAAACTGTAATCAAAAAATATCAATGCAAGTTTTCGTGGTTTTATTGCAGTTACACTTGGTTATGCACTCTGTGAGCACCTATATGAAGCTGTGATCTGGGCTCATATCAGTGCTACAAGTGCCTGCAGCCTTACATATGTAGACAGTAGGAGGGACCCTGTGATAACCACCATTGGGTCTCCATATGGTGTTACATAAACAGAACCTGACTGCAGAATAAGAGGCAGAGGCAGAAATAGGAGAAAGTTTTCACTTCAACGATGAGGTAATGGATTTTGCACCCTTGTTTCTTTCTTCCTGTCTTTCTTTCATTCATTCTTTAAAATTCTGGATGGTTTCCAGAAAGCAAGCACAATGAATTGATGTTGTCTGGCAGAATGAATGTTTCACCTCTTTATTAAATGGGACATTGTAATGGATGAGGGGCTTATGTAATGTGTGGAACTGTGCCACAGAGTTAATGTCACAAGGCCTTAGATGACGCGATGGAACAGCTACCACTTGTGCCCTGACTTTGGCATAGATTTTGATTATTCAAAGAGTTATAAATGATGTTTATCTATATGTCTGTATTATAAGATACCTATTCCTTGTCTAAATATTTATGTTATTTGATAAATATATGTTTTTGATAATCAGGTGTTACTAATAAACCACTGTTCCTCTGTCTCTTTGGGTTTTTATTGCTCTTTGTCAGGTTTGTAATTAGCTGCATCAAAAACTTTGCATTTTAGGGCAGCGATTTGCAGTCATTTTGATCTTTGATTAATGGGCCCATTATAATTTAAATGGATCATTTGAAATAAATGGTTAAAAGTATCACACAAATTCAAAAGGCCTGTGGTGATATGAAATTGCTTTTTGGTCCAAAACTTGAAAATTTGTACCTTCAAGAAAGAGGAAGCAGCATGTTTGCTTCAAAAACGACCTGACTGATGAGTCATCTGACAAAGCTGCTGCAGGGAACCTTCTCTGTTGATCAAATAATTGATTAATCAACTTCTGTCTCTGCAAAATGTGGAGTTCATTTAAAAGAGCCTCGAGAGCAGAGAGATGCTTCTTAGCTGATGATTTCAGAGGAAGTTTTTCTGTAGTATTTAAAGAGAAATGTTTGAACCTGTTTGAGCATCTTTATATGAGGTCACGACTCCTACCTGAGTTAATCAAGGAAGGTTTATGATAAGGAAAAGATTAATCAATAATGAATGCGTTCACGGAAAAGGAGGTATTACAGAGGTTAAAGACCCACTCCGATGAAAATCATGTTTTTCTTGTTGTCTACATGTTCATACTGCATTTTTCTGATGTTCCAGGACATATCATAAGAAAACTAAATGCAAAATTGCTTTTCTGAGTATTTCTCCACTCAAATCTCTGTGAATCTCTGGCAGAGCCAAACAGCAGGTTGAAAACAGTGAGATGTCACCGTCAACCATTCTAAGCTCCGCCCCCGGAGCCCCGGGGGCATCAATCACTTCACCTATTTAAACCGGGGCAGCATTTCCGCATTTCAACCTTCCAAGCCGGGAGCGCGGTTGCGCATATCTGCTCTTTAAAGTTTGTTTGTTCAAGGTTCTCAAAAATGTGATGAAGGTTCAGAAAAATAAAAGATAGTTATCTTAAAGCTCTTAAATACTTTTTAAATGTTATCTGCTACAGAGGCGGAGATATCAGCTTTTGTGTAAACCTCAACACTTCAAAAAACCTCAGGATCTAGGAGCCCTTCTCAAAATCATCTAGCCTTTCTTATATGTCAATGGTCTGTCTTGGTCCAGTCATTCAACCCACCCTAGAAACTTTTGGGACATTTTCAGAAGTTTAGTTCTGGTGTAAATGCAGCTGAAGGCTACAAGCACACAAAAGTAAGACTAACTTTAAATGAAAACAGGTTAGCCTTATCCTCCCTCCAACATTAGCCAGTACTGCTAAAAATTCAAGCTAATGCGTTTTAAAGCAACAACAGATCCTGTTATGGGTTAGAATTTTTCTCGTTTAATCTGAACAATCAACCCTGAATCATCATATTAATGATAAATGGTCTTGGTGTTTCCCAGTGGACTGAGCTATTTCCCTTTCAATGATTTATTAAGAACAGCCAAAGGAAAGTGGGTCTTGGCTTTGGATCTCAGATTTAGAAACCCAGCATATCTCATAACGCTGAGCCACAGTATTCCCCCCTAAAACAGCACCTCCATTACAGCACAGGGTCCCGCTCCACTTCTTTAAGACCACTGCCAATATCAACTGATGATTCTCAGGCCCTAGAAACCATATTTGTGTAATTTTGAACAGAGCATCACAAATGAAGAGTGATCACACCTGTATAGGCCTGTTTACTACACACACACACGCACACACAGATCACACATACCAAAGCATGATTAATCCCACCTTATTGATGTGTCCTATAATGAGCTTTTGCAATCCCCCCACCCTCCCCTGGGAGCGCAGACTTGCATCAGCTAATTAATGAGCACTTGGGGGGGAATTTGGGTCATGAGAGGGGCCAGGAGGAGAAAACTGGGGGGAATAAGTGGCACCAGCCCGGATCAATACATCACAGAGGGATGAAAACTGGAGGGAATGAGGATGGGCTACCAGGATATTTAAGTCTTTTACAAAACAACTGTGTTGACTGTGAACAAGTGGTGCCAGAGTACTGCTGAGTGGGGAGTGTTGACCCCACTGTGGACTGTATTACCCTGACACACAGCAGAGGATTTGGAGAACCAGTTAAGGGAAAATGAAGCATATCAAAGGGGAGACTAGGGGCGGTTTCTGCCCTCAAACAAACGGACAGTTTGATTTATAGAAGGTCACAAGAAACAGACCAGAGCAGCAAATCGTACCTTTCTCTTTCCGTCCACACAGGACGGCTCTCTTTTCCCCCTGCTCCGCCTGGTTTCTTCACCTCTCATTCTTCTTCCTCTGCTCGCAGGCTTTTGGAAAACGGGGACAAAAGGGACTTAAACAGGTAAGTGGGTCACACTTTCTGTTGCTGTAGTGAAAAGGCCTCTGTGACGCGTGAAGGCAAAAATAGATAGTCAACACACAGAGAGGGTCCAACACAAAGATGCATGAGCGTTACCTACTGAACCTTAAATGCTATTTTGTAAAATACACTCTAGTCGAAGTCATTAAATGAGGTTGGTAATATGATACATGAACACAGGGATTGTTCACTGGAAAAACTAGCTCACAATTTATGGATTTCAGTAAACCTTAGTCTAGCTATAACAGTCTGATGTTCTGATACTTGAGTCTGGACTGAAATATCACATTCTATGGATTGACATCAACATTTTGTGTCATCAGCTGTGATCCCCATATGATCTGTTCAGTTTTACCGTTTAGCTTTACCTTGAAAAAATGTCTTGCCAAGAAGATATCATAAGATATTGTTCCTCTGAAGTACTGAGCAAGTCAGAGTTTTACTTCTCCAGTTACTTCTGAGTGCAATGGTGAGTGAACCCAAGGAGAGGGTGTGGCAATGGCAGGGATTGGGTGGTTGTACTGGGGGCTTGTGGAGGCAGTGGATGAGATGTAAGAAAGCAAAATTAATCGCTGGTAAAATACACAAAGTGGAAATGCTCAGACAATTGCAAATACTTGAGCAAACTCAAGATAGCCAAGATATCACATGAGGTGTGGGAATAACCTGGAGCAGCATCACTGCAGGGTTTAAGATTGCAGTAATTAGGTGCAGGTGTGAAGGTGCAGGTGAAGCCAGTGCAGGAGGGAGCCACACAAACCACACAGAAGACAGTCATGGACTCACCTAAATAAAACCAAAAAGGTGCAATCACCACAGACCCCACAGGTACCCCCTGTGGACGGTCAAGTCTTCTCTTAGCTCATTTTCTACATGTTGAAGTTGTCATTTTCTGGTCAAACAAATCTCACCCTGCATACATGTCATGATCAGGCGTTTGAGTTTGTGTGAGAAATGTAAAAAACAGGGTTTTTCTTTGTTGGCTCTACTGACTCTGACCCTCGACCCGCTGGTTTCAGGCTTTAGAAATAACAGAATAAAAGTCATCACTCTTGTTTGTTTTTGTATATTATAAAGAGGCATAAATATGGATTTCAGTCAAGTTTATACACGTCAAAAACCTCCAGTCCAGGATTTCCATATGCTGGCTTCACAGCTGTCTCACTCTCAGATTTTTCTTTCTCTTTATAGAAACACAGACACTTTGACCCAAAACTGAACCAGCTAGAGGAAGACCATCTCAGGCTGCAACGTTTGCTGTTAAAAATTAAAGACGTGGAGAGATAGCCGTCCAAGAAGCTTCTACCCTGTTTTGTAAGGGTAAGACTCAGCCCTGAAAAAACATGTTTTTTTATTGTTGTTCAGGTTGGACTACACCTGGGATTTTCCACTCCTCTACTGCAGTCACTTCTCCTCTCAGCTCTCTAGTTCAGACCTCTGTCAGCCTGCAGCAATGACCACTTGTGTAAACCGTTCCCTCTCAGTGTGTCTCTACCATCCATAACGTGCCACATGTGCTCTGTGCTCCAGGATGCTTCCAAGAATCACATCTATCACACGCTTTTCATTAACTGCAGCACCAGCCCCACTGGAGGTAAGGGTGCCTACGGCTGCAGAGGCATTTTTAGGACAGTCTACCGGAGAAGTGATGAAGTACAAGCTATCTGCTCTGTGCTTTTTTATGTTTGACATATCCGTGTACAGTAAAGCAGAGATGCAAATTTTTTCTGGCAAAGTAATAATACAGTAGTGCTTGTTAAGTTACGCTGAGACCTTTTTTTTTACTTAGTTGTTAAAAGAGTGCTAATCCCACTGAGGAACAGACGACTGTTAGACGTCTAGTTTTTTTTTTTTAGACCTAATTTCAACCGTCTAGATTCAGTATATTTTTAGACAGGATTTAGACGTTACATTTTAACCCGTTATTCGATAACTATTAATTTCAAAAAGCAACTGTGAGTTACATAACTGATCTCCAAGTACTTAACCACAATAATTATGATAGTTGTTGAGAAATATACAGTGTAGACCTCTGTTAGCTGGCTAGTCTAAACTTGGTCTAAATTTAGACATCTAAAAAACTTTCATATTTAGACCTGTGGTTGCCTGATTTTAGACAAGTCGTCTAGACTACATTTAGACGTCTATTAGACCAAAAAATGCTCAGTGGGTTAGAAGTTCAAAGAGAACAAGCCTGAAGGAACAGATACAGATTTATCAGCTTCTTATAAATAAAGATACCATAAAATCACAGCAGCCTTAGTGTGGAATAAAACAATTCAGACAAATTTCCTTGTAAATTTAGGGAAGGAATGAAACATCACCCTCTCACCTACAAAGCTCTTCATGGACAGGTACCATCATATCTAAAGGAGTTTAGTTAGTTAGTTTCCCATTACCTCACCACAACATTGCAGTCCCAACATACAGGCCTAGTCATCATACCTAAAGTCTGTAAAAGTGGTCTGGGTGGTTGAGTGTTCAATTATCAGGCCGTTCGTTCTTCTTCTTCTTCATCTTTATCTTCCTCTCCATCTTTGTCTTCTTTGCCTTCTTCTTCATATTCTTCCTCTTCCTTGTCTTCCACTTAATCTTCTTCTTTGCCCTCCTTCTCCTCCTCTCCTCTGGAATGATCTACCAGTCCAGGTGCAGGGGGGCTTCGGCTGCTATAACTTTAGACGGCCAAGGTTACAGGCACATTGAGCACGCAAAGGGCTCCTGCCTGTCCGTCAATATCTGATGAGTTTGGAATGACAACGTGTTTATGTCCCATCAGAGTGACTCACTACTACACAGTTTTTTCTGGGAGTCCCTGAACTCCATCATGCCGTAGGTTCCTCTGGATCAGATGTTTCACTGCTGTGGACCTGTCTGCTCTCTAGCTACTTCAACGTGTGTTAGTCTCTCCTCTGTCCATCTCTCTCTTTCTCTCCCTCTCTCCCTCACCAAATCCACCTCAGTCTCAGCAGATGACTGTCTAACATGAGTCTGGTTCTGCTCGAGGTTTCTGCCTGCTAAAGGAAGTCCTTCCTCTTTACTGTAATTTGATAAATGCTGCACAGTGTTCCACTAATGTGGTTGAGTCTGGTCCTGATTTAGATCGATATGGTTGCAGTGTTAATGTGACAAGAAATATGAGAATCCTTTTCTTGTGGAAGTTACGGGGAGTTTGTCCTCAAGTTTGCAGCTGTATCTGACCCATCCACCGAGGTGAAGAGCGCACTCAGACTTTGAACATGACTATGCAGACAGTAACAAAGTGAGAGCAGGGAAGGAGTCACTTAGTGAGTGGAGCCAGACTGAAGATGCCCAGCGCCCTGAAGTGCTGATTCGGGGATAAGGGGGCTGGTTTAGTTTGTTAGTTAATTTCCCAACCCCAGTGTACAACCCCCTTTGTCTTGTGTGTAATCCGTCATGTTCAGACTTAATTAATCCTTGAGGGGAAATTCAACCTTTTAACTCTGATGCTGTACATGGTGCACACATACAGGCTGATCTACACACACGCACACGTGCACCAACAGGATCCTGTGGACACGCACTAATAAATAAATGGGCTAGCTCATGATGAGCTGCTCGGGGCTGCCTTGCTCAAAGGCACCTTGGCCTTGTGCCCAGCAAATGGAGTGCCACTTCTATAGCTTTCAGCCTAGTTTCCAAACTTGGTCTCTACTGTAATCCTTCAGTTGTTAAGCCCAAGTCCCTGCAGACAGAGCTACCGCTGCCCCGATTGATTATTTATCAGTAATCATCTGAAAATGGTGCTGGAAACCTCTGTAATGGCTTGTGTTGTAGTCCACATGGTTGGCCAGAGGACCGAGTTTAATCACACCTTTGACTCCAGGTTTGATTGTAACATTTAAAGGAGCTAAACCAAAGTAAATATGCTACATACCAGAAAATCCGCTTCCACAGGAGGATAAAGACATTTTTCCGAGAAGCTCATATGAGACAGCTTGCTTTGTTGGCTCCAGGCTCAGCTCGGCCCTGTAATTTACGGTTTCCTTTATCTCTAAATTTCTTTTTATTGTCCTGGTTTCAGTCTGTCTCAGCATGAGTCAGGTGATCACTGCCGCAGGCCTGCACAAGGTTGGTGTGATACGAAGAAAATGAGATAGTCTGTTGTACCAAAAGAGATGCTATCAACATGCTGCCACCGCTTCTGGGCTTTTTTCTTTTTAGCAGGTTTTCTACTTTCAGCGAGGCCACAGAGGTGATGATTCATATTTACACTTTACATAACACATTTTACCTCTCAAACATAAAGGAGGTTCTTACATATTTACAGTGTATATATGATGGAGCACCTTTCTGGGCACCGACTTCTGCATAAACTTTGAAAGCACTCGTTTACATAACAGAAATCAATGTTTGCAGGACTTAAGTGCCTCTGTGCACATTACACAACTTTAACACCTTTACAAAAGTACAATATCTACACACCATTAAAAACCATCAATAATCCAAGTGAGAATAAGTGTTATCAACGAAATCTGTGAGAAAATCTGCAGGCTAGTTTCACAGATTTAGTTGTCATTATGAATATTAGTTAACTGTGTAAAACACAAATATATTCCCAAAGATGTCACACATTTGTTTTATGAAGTGGGTTTTTGAAGCCCGTTGGCTGTAGTTGCTATCCTTAAAATGCTGACTCGACCGAACTTTACAAACTAAAGCAGACGCTCAGAGAAGTGCAGTTTTTAGCCCTTCTGCACCTGCTTTATTTAATGTAAATAAACATGGAAGACTCCAGGCGCAGTGGTGAGGTGGGCAGGGCATCTCAAGGCAAATCAGTGTCATGTCCATAGACTATGGACGACTTAGCTCCATCTTCCGTCATTATACGAATTTGAAGCCAGAAAGCTCTCTGTATTTCCAGGATTTTCTCCTCCTGGAACAACCACTTACGCAGTAACTCACTCGGCTCAAACACCAAATTCCCAGGATTAGCTACACAATCTTTGTACGTCCATAGTCTGTATCAAGTGTCAAACATAGAAAACCCCCTAACAACTTTTAAAAATGGAGCTGCACAGAAAAAAGAGGACTTGAGCACAAACCAGTCTGACAGTAACTACATGTCAACATCACAACCAGGGGGGAGAAAAATTTATATTCTGTGTAATTAATTTTTAAAGTTTATCCTCGGCTCCATAAAGATTGCTGGAGGGGGCGGGATTTATGACCCATACTGCAGCCCATCACCAGAGGGAGCTGTTCTTGCGGTGGCTTCACGGATGGCGTCCACCCTATATACAGTCTACGGTCATGTCACTAATTGGAGAAAAGGAGATTTGATTTTGTCTATTAGATTTATTATTTAAATAAACACTATTAAGAATAGCACTGTCAAACATAAAGAAATACACAGCGCCAATTCTCAGCAAATGTTTTCTGAAGACGTGTAACAGAAAAGCTGGTCTAGACCAGAATCTTCATGATAATTACAACCAAGATCTTGGAGTAGGATTAAGCCA